AGGTAAGTTCCTCATAGTGACAGTCAGAGAATGATAGATAGCAGGAAGGGAGAAGAGAAGGAAAAAGGGGGGAAAGATGAGTAATTGCTAAGGAGCAAATATCTGGTTTTCACCCAGATCCCTCCACTGGAACACCCAAGGTGTGAGTGAAGTTTTTCAGTAGATCACCAGTCACATCCATAAGTCCTGCACAGACTAGGAAACTTATGGAAAGTTTGCTACCCCTATATTTGTTTAAACAATGCCATCCATGTATCTGGAATATGTTGCACCTAGAGGCATGATTAAAGCTTTATAAATAAATCATCTCACAAGAGTCTGAGCAAAGGACAAGACCGTCAAGTGGGCAAGTATGTATCTCTCTACCCAACTACTGAAAAAAGCATAGTGACACTACGCACTGGGATTTCGTGCCAATCTAGAGGGATAATAATGCATTTCGGATGCTTTTAAGCACCCCCTATGAATATAAAATGTGATTTTTCCTGAAACAGCTGCTTTAGGGCATATTAAGTGCATATTAAGTGCATATTAAGTGCATTCTTAGCTTGAGACAATATGCTGAGTAAAAAGGAAAATAATATATAATGAGAAAGCCTTCTAAATAGAAAGATGAGATGTGAACCAACCAACAAATACGTAATGATTGCAAGGTTTTGAGATTACAGTAAATTTACCTGTAGGTGCTATGTAGCATTGTATACTTAAGGGGAAATTCTTTAACCACTTCTCATAAAAAATCTGGTTTGGGCAGTTTGTTCTCTTGTAATGTATAGAAACAGGTATATGACTAATCTTAGAAAGATGTGGTAAGCAACTTGATAGTCAAGGTGTTAGCCCACCATAGAAAACCCACAGATTGTAGATAAAATGTTATTGTTTAATTTTGCATACAGCTTATAAGGAACTAATTGATTTTTACAAGAAAATATGTTAGTTTGATGTCCACATGGACAAGAGTTAAACTGATAAAAAGGGTGGTGAGTTAATTCATATACCAAGGAAAATACATTAAGAAAATATAAATAACTATAACTAGTATAACTAATATAAACTAATATAAATAACTATAACTATTTCAGAACAGGTAGTGGATTCATTAATACACCTCCTAGCACTAACTAATTAAATTAGTTTAACCAACGAATGTCAGTCAAACTATGAATTATTCTAAACAGAATGCCGGCCTCTTGCGTAGCTGAGGCTAAGGGAGCTATTAGTCAATTCACAGTTTTCATTGCAGAAAATGCTAACGTAAGGGGTTTACAGTGACATAGAAAGAGTAATAAATAAGAGCAGAAGTAATGAAATGCCACACTCACAGTTTTTAGCAGACTACAATTCCTATAGAGTTTTTGCTAATAACTTGTTCTGTTTGTGGCTGAGCCTAATCTAGGGGTTATAACTACAAGTATTCAGATAATTGCAGTATAGTTGCAGGACAGATCAGTATGTAACATATGACCCCCATTAATTCAGTGATTGCTGAGTTATTCAACATCCAGTGACTTTATTGGAAGATAAGACCCTAATTGCTTCTATAGAGACTTGTCTCTGCATCTAAAACGTTGAAAACATTTTTGGAACCCTTATAGTCATCCTGCATCTACTGTTCAGCAAGCTCTGTATCTACACACTAGCTATGCTAAAATATATATTTTGTCCACTGACAACACTGTATGGTGTGTGATGGAATAGGTATCTGATTTGCGCATAAGTGGATCATAGGAGAGTTTACTTTTTTTCATTTAGCTATTTTAACTGTCTAGCCTTTTTTGATTTTTTTATCACTTAATGTGCTGATTAGCATTTTATTGACAGCAGACTTATAAATCTACTGTTTTGAGAAGAACGCAACAGCCAATCAGCATCAAGAGGGCTTTACAGATCAAGCTGCGATGGTTTTAATTGAGTCTTTTAAAGTTGGATGAAGATATTTTTTTGCCTTATTTTCACTGCATTTTGAATAACAATAGAATGCACTGACTTTAACCCCTTAATTACAAAACTTCTGGAATAGAAGGGAATCATGACATGTCACACATGTCATGTGTCCTTAAGGAGTTAAACATCCTTTTGAGCCAACCCCATCCAGCCTGTTTAAACAACATATCTAGAGAGTATAAACGCAGAAAACGAATCTCTCCAGTCTTCAAAAAACTTTAAACTTTTGTGATTTTAAACACTCTCTCTAACAACAAAATGTATTTCATAGCATGTTACACAAAACAAAAGAAAGAAAAAACAAGTGTGCTATTCTTTGTGATAAACAAACCGACACCAACATTCAAAACAAACAAAAAAATAAATAAAAAGTTTATTCAATATTATTGACTGTAAATGGTCTGTTAACATTTACCATTAAGACATTATTCTTTTTTTTTTTAAACTGTTCTATAGCATTAAAGATTGCTTAGTGTTTTTATAATTAATTCCATAACCTATTCTTATTTTCTTACAATCACAATCAACTCCTTTACAACCAGCACACATTATAGAAAATGTTAGTTTTGTTTTGTATTATATTACACCAAAATTATATTACACTGTCTCTGTACAGACATGTGCATATATAAATATATACTCGGCTGGAATTTTGAGTATTACATTCATATATACACTGGCATGCACTTTATATTTCTGGGTTACTGGAAGGAGGTGAGTGTAATCCATTGTAGATTTTACTATTTAAACTCCCACTACCACTCTAAGCCAGTACCCGGTTTTTAAATTTATTTTTAATGTGTTTTTTTTCTTCAATGTGATCTTATAAATTGGGAATATTGGATCCTGTAGGCATCTTTGGCACCCAAGAGCATGTATTATAGAGCCTGGGACAGTTCTGGGCCATGTGAGTGATACTCCAACCCCATTCCTTCACCATATATATTTTTATGGTTCACACTAGGTTGGTTGTAATTTTTTGTGCTTTATTTTAGGTATTCGGTGGTACCCAGTTTTATGAATATATGTTTATATTTTAATCTATTTATTTTTGCTTATTGTGCCACAAGCTTCACTTCCTTACTGGTATATTTCTTTATTTTGGTTGATACGCCGGCACATGCCTTTTTATAGTGCTTGGCATAGGTACATACACATTTGGATTTTCCCACATTTTATAATGCTGCAATGTAAGAATAAAAATGATGCTAATGGAATTGATAGTACTGGATTTGCATAGCATACCTTACACTTAAAGGTTATTAACTTTTAAGTGTTAGGTATGCTATGCAATTTTTTTTAACTCAAACAAAAAAAAAAGTGCTCAAGTGTTCAACCCTGGTGCCATGAAACCCCAAAGTAAACCCAACCAATCAAACTCTACTCAATTCAGTTGTGATGTCCTTGAGAAACACCAATTGTCCTTCCGTTATAAATAAATGTTCCAAACTCTGGACACACAAAAAGCTGGACTTTATGTATGGTGAGAAGGAAGACTTTGCTAAAAAAAACAAACAACAAAAAAAAAATCTAAAATTTACCAAAAGGCATGTGGGAGGCACAACCGAAGATATAACTTGTGGTCTGATGAGACTATTGCAGGATAATAAATAAATGTTACCATAAAGTGATTTAAAATCAAGAAACAGAATCTCTTAAAATGACCTGGTTAAAACCAATTCTTAATCCAATGGATAATTTGTGCAAAAAAACTTTTAAAAAAACTGTTCATTAGCGTTCCACATCCAACTTGACAGACCATGAGCAATTTTCCCAAGAAAAGTGGTCAAAAATTGCAGGATCCAGATCTGGTGCAGAACTGGTGAAGAAAAAAACAAATGAAAAAAAAAAAAATCACAGTTGTAACTGCAGCCAAAATGTTTCTAACAAGTCCTCCCTTGGGGGTGTGAATACTTATGCAACCAAGAAAAGTTTTTTCCTTAAAATTTGTGCCACAAAAAATGTTGATACAAACATAAATTAAGCTCTGTGCTCCAACTCCCACTACTCATGGGCAGCAGCAATGACTACAGTACACATAAGCCCCAATACATACAATAAGAACCAAAGGAGTAGTGGGAATTTGAGTGCAGGACTTAATTGTGTATGTAAGTTTGTGTTTTTGTATTACACAACAATATCACAATGCTGCCACCCATGCCATGTGTTATCTATATATAGGGTTAATATGTGTGTAGGGAGTTTAAAAAAAAATAAAAAAAATACCCCTCTCTTTCTCATACCCCTCTCTTAAAGCTGAAGACAGCAATGCAAATTTTTAGTATAGGACTCACCTAAGATGTTTTGCCTTGACGTGGCAGGTGATCTTACAATGTAATGGCCATTGGAATGATACTAAAAAACTTCCAGTTATTTTGGATAGTCTGCAAGTAATTTTTTTCCTTTGGTTTAAAAAAAAAAAGTAACTTTCAAGTTTCAATTTAGAATAAAAAAAAAGTACAAATCTTATTAAAATCAAATTTAAAGCCAGGTTGTGATATTACAAGTCATATATAGAACTATGTATATATATATATATATATATATATATATATATATATATATATATATATATATATATATATATATGTGTGTATATATATATATATATATATATATAAATATATAAAACTAGGTGTATATATATAGGTATATATAGAGAACTAGGTATATATATATATATATATATATATATATATATATATATATAACCCCTCTCTTAAACTATGTATATATATAGGTGTATATATATATATATATATAGAGAGAGAGAGAGAGAGAGAGAGTTAGGTATATATATATAGGCATGTATATATTCAGGAGACCCACCGAAAGTTATTAATCCTTTAATGAATGTGGAAATTATACTGCGGATTAAAACAAAGTAAAAGAACTAAATTGTGAAGAGCCCTTAACAGGTGTAAAATTTGCAGGAGCAAGTGCAGCCTGATTTTTGCAATGCTGGGAGCTGTCAATGTTGAGAAACTTGCCATACCTGTCAGCTGTCTCCTCCCCCATTCCAACAGTCCACCTTATAAAATAAGAAGGCAGCAAGACATAATCCTACCACTCCAAAGTTGCACTGCTATTTGGAGAGTGCTGTTTTGGTGACAGTAATGTTAACACTGTCATAGTAACAGAACGTGGAAGGTATAGACTTGGAGGCTACTTTTTAAGCTAGTATTGCACATACTGGCTAGAGCCATGAGTATTCTCCCAGTCTTGGTACTGACGGCCCTGTGCCTCTTCGCCAGCGTATCATCTGATAAAGGTAAATATGGTTTCATTATACATTTATCAAAAAAATCACTGTATCTTTTATTGGAAAATAGTATTTATATGTTTATGCTCTGGATTTTGTCAGGGTTTCGGACAAAAAAATAACATTTTGCTCTGAAGATTTAATTATCGGTTCTGTTCGTAATAGCAATGATTTATTCTTCAGCTACTTGGATAGACACTACAGTTCGTTTTATTATATTTTCTAAAAATTTGCGTCTTGTTATTTTGTTTTCTAGCTTTTCTGCATTATTACACTTTAATTTGAACAAAATACTATAAATCTATCCTAAGTCTGTCCTAAGTTATCTTTCATTATTTATCGTCAACCCATGCCATCAGCAATTCTTGTCTTGAAAGATGCTATGCAGCCATATCCTACCCTTGAATTTCTAATGCAATGATGCTAAAAAGGCAAGTCATTCAATTTCAATGGTGGATCTTCTAGACTATTGGTATTGATGAAATAGATAGTTATCAGTACCCCAAAACCAACAACATAAATAGATTGGTCTCTGAGGTTTCCCAAACTTGCTAAACCATTTTCACTACTTTATGCTTAAAATAAATTACCTAAAATATATATATATTTTTTATTGATGCACAGCTTTTTCAACGTGTTTTTGAATATATGGAAATTATATAATTTTTTAAAATTAATATTTGTAATGCACAACTTGTTCTTAAGTAATTACCTATTCTTTGCCAAATAGACTTTAGCAATTTTGAAGAAAAAAAAATTAAAAATAGCAATTATTTTTAATGTTCACAGAAATTAATGCTTACAGGAATGAATGCTTATATCTCAAAAAGTCAAATGCAGGCATTGACCACAATATGGCATCTACACTCTTTGTAGCCACTAAATAGTGTTTTGTTATGATTACATACATGCAAAACTTGTCAAAGCACTAGAACGTTTAGTGAATGAGCCACAAAATGATTTCTCTTTTTACTTGAAGTTGTTAAGTGTTAGATCATATAAGCTTTACAATGTTCATAAAGACTTTAATTTGGCAGAAGACACACGCTGATCAAATAATTTATATCTGTTCGTTTCTGGACAAAAAGGTGAATTAAAAATAAAAACAACAACATTTTTTTTTTTAAATAAATGGATTATCTAGGAAAAAGCTATTTTCCATAGGCCTTTGTATTAATTACTTATAAATATTTTAAGGATCTAGATATCATCAAATCATCAAAAACATTAAACAGCAAGTTGTAAAAAAAACCTCAATTCATCAATAATTGTATATTTATGTATTTCCTGGTGAGTATCACATACAAAATATACCCTGTCCAGTCCATACAATGTTTCTTTTATCTTGTTAGTGTATTCTTTTAAGTTTGACAGCCTTTATGTCTTAAAGTGTACCCCTAGGCAAGTTATGCTAGGAACCAACACACCTTTCTGCCCATAGGCACTAAATCTAGCTAGACCAGAATTTTAAGATTTGCAGCATTCAAAACTGCATATTTCATGAAAGTGGACTGCCAGAATGAGAACAATTCACTGACTATGTGTTTAAGTGTTGACTTTTAGCAGAGATAACATCTCATTGGGCAGCCCTAAGGCTATAGTGTCCTATATGTAGGACTGCACTACCATCCTTAAAATCTGTCATCTTGGTAGAACATGAACAGGTCTGGTGACCCATGCACTGCAACTTACTGGAGACCAACCTACTGCTGCCATATATGCAGAGTTGAAAAAATAGGAGTTTATAAATTAAATTCTGAAACAGAATAGCAACATTTGAACAAAAATAGTTTATCAGAATATATTTTCACTTCCAGCAATAGTCACAGACAGCTTGGGTACTTTAACTTGAATTAACATGTCCGAGCAGGGGTAGGCAACTTTCGGCACTCCAGATGTTGTGGACTACATCTCCCCTGATGCTTTGCCAGCATTATGATTGTAACAGCATTATCGGAGGTGTAGTCTACAACAATATCTGGAGTGCCGAAGGCTGCCTGCCCCTTATGTAGACTATGTTTAATTCAGCAATACTCAGTCTTATGCTGTGGAGGTCTTCAATACCCATGATGACTCACAGCCAGCCTACAGCCTATTCTGCTGCTAAGTCCTGCTGTGGCTGACTTAAAATGACTAGATTTGCAGTTGTAAGTATATTATATATGTACATTATTGGCGTAACATAAACAATCTGGACACAAGCCAGTTTGATTCTTGCTGGTTTTCTTTTTCGCAAAGCAAAAAAAGAAAAATGAAACAGAACAATCAAACCTGTTTTTCCTCGAATGCAGGACAATCATCATTTCTGCTTCTTAACAATTATATATTATATATCAACTCTCCTGAGATGCATGCTGGGAAAAGATCTATACTGCAAAACACGGATAAGCTGTCTACTTAATACTAATAATGGAATGCACAGCTAATCATATTTCACGTGTTGTAGCACAAATAGAAGCGATATTTAAACACGAATACACGGGTTTGCCATGTAGAGTGTCTTGCAGCATCAATATAATTAAATGTTTAAGCATTGTGAATTGAGCTAGTGATTCTTTTAATCTTATTAAAGTTATTTAAAGCTCATAGGGAATTCATAGCTCAGGGCAAAATAAAACTAACATCAGTTCCACTTGCTTAATAAAAACAGTTAGCAATGAGACACTGTGAAGGTTGCTTAACAAAGCGAGAATTCTTGGGAATTCCAATTGAATTTCAAATTTAAGGCCAAAAAAGTCAAACCGAATACTTATATGGATATGTTTTTTTCAGTTCAGCTACTCTAGCCTTTAAATTGAAATGTACCTTGAATTAATTCTGAATTTCCATCTAAATTCTGTTTTTTCTGCTTTTCATACACCTCTAACAATTTAATAAAGGGATCTCCCAGCACGTTTTCCACTGGGATAATTATAACTGCAACACAAAAATGAAAATGCTACAATTTGTATAATAGTTTCCTGAAGCATACTTGTTTAATTAAGCTTCCATGATTAACATTATGTATCACCCAGCTTATACAGGGAAGGGATATATTGACATTGGCATTTAGTTTGTAATGTCTTAGTCCCTCCTCTCGTATTCAAAGGTTGAAAGAACAAATACATATAGTTCTGCTTTAGGAAAAAGAAAAAAAACTCAACTTGCTGGTTTGTAAGTGATTATTTACTAAGATATGACAAAGTGAAAAAAAATGTGAGGTACTCCCTCATTTGACTCCCTCTTGACATGATTATAGAAAAATACATAATTTTAAGTGTTATCCTCACTTATAAATCTGATTTGCTAACACTTACAGTGTTTTCATTGTTAGTTAAAGTTAAAGAGCAAGAATTATGGAGCTGTATGTAAACATTGTCACATAAAAATATAAGTGCAATTTTATATGGGATTCCTCATTGTAGTGAAGTAGGTGAAGGGTGGAGAAATGGCTGTAAATTCTGAGTATTGAGCAAACACACTTTATTTAATGTCCCTTGACTGTCAAGGTCTCTGTGTTTTTATAATTACATAATGTCGTGTTTAATATTAGTACAAGGAAAGGAATCCCGACAGTCTTCTCCATTCCTTTTAGTTGGTCTATTCTAGTGTACCCATAAAATGTAAGATATAGGGTCACAGGTGGAATTCAATTGTCTCATTTCTCATTACAAGCCAATAGCGATACATCTGCAATCCTTATCAATACATTTTGATTAGTATATAATACATCTTAGAGTTGTGTATTAAAAATTCAGGAATTTCAATACTTGGTAGGAAAATATGTAGACCTGAGAACTGATTTTAGGCCAAAATAGATTAAATGTGCTGTTTGTATGAGTTAAATATTATAATTAACCTTGTATGTTGCCAATGGTTTTCCAGTTGCATGTTACAGTGTATTGTGATAAACAAACTACGGTTTTAAAACTGCATGTTTTGAAAAAGTGCTATACCAGGACTACAGAACACCATTGTTTCTCTATATACATTCAAATTACATCAAATTAGGTGCAAAAAGTGATGATTTTATTTTTTCTTTCCTGCAGCAAGTTGCACATTTAATGGAAAGACCTTCAAAGATGGAGAGACAATTCTTGACAACTGCGAGATATGGTAAGACACTTAATGTTAATGTTAATCTAAAAAACACTTAGTGTTAATTTAGGGAGACATCGTAAAGGAAAATTAAAATGTAAATATTCTCGATAACATAATAATTTGCATGTTTTCAAATGAGAGCAGTAGCATAATGACTATAGCTAGTAATGTATAAATGGGAGTATTATGGGACATCACATATCCACTAACGTTTGAGTTGACTTACCCAATGTCGCATTGAAACAGATGTCATAGGCAGTAAATCAATGTCAACAATGAACTAAAGGCCTGTCAGTTAAAATGTCTATCACTGTGTAAGCCAACACATTTTGGAAGAATATGACCTTTGCTATTATAAATATGATGAAATGGATACTCACTAAGTCCAAACTTTTGGCCAGCTTCCCTGAACAGGCAGTGTTACTTGTTCAAATTGGGAATTAAAGTCCCAAAGCTGCTGATATCGTGAACGGAAACACAGCAAAGAGAAAGAAAATCCATACAGTCGTCTGTATGAATTCCAACAATTATCGGATACCTTCTAAATTTCCATGTTCGTATATTTGATAATGTTTCTTATACTTATGCAGGACATACATTTTTTTTAGGTAACTAGCCTCTTACAAATGCAATCAATTCAACAACTCCTGTTGTGTTCTACTTATTTGTCTTAGCTATGCAATCGTGTTTTCAAATAAATGTCAAGATGACTTTTTTTTAAGGAAAAAAACGCTTGTCAATAAATTGAAAAGAAATTAGGCGCACATTTAAACAGTAAGACAATTTCAATATTTTCATGTATTTTCTTTGCAGTGAGTGTGTCGATGGAGAAATAAAAGACTGCTCAGTAAATGCAAACTGCAAAGGTAAAACTCTTTTTAATTTATAATGAATTGTTTTATTTTGAAATGTAATTATAATAGTACTCTTTATCTTCTTCAAAACCTTAGGCAAACCACCTTATATTATGGTAGTCCTTGCGTGTGTCATGAAAAGGTTAAAATAAAAGCCTTTTCTGATAGCATCCCTTCCATGCCATATCTGTCATGTGATCTGCTTTTGAACAAATGCATGTTATGCCATTTGTTACTAAATTCTCGTATTTGTTAAAGTATAAAAAGTAAAAGCTTGAAAACGTAGTCCTGTGGGTTGTTTTCGACAATGCCTACAATCTCTCAGCCGGAACGTAACCCAGCAAGTTTTCAGATTCACTGAGTGAGGATTGGAGAAAAAAAACAGGTTAAGGGTGCTGTACTTTTAAATAATCTTAATCATACACATACCAAAAAGATAGAGAGGCTTACATATTTAAATGTCTCGTCAAGCATCTTATTTCCACCACGTATCGAAATGTACCTGTTTTCTGAATTTAAACCAGAGATGGTGACTCAACAAGAAGAACCCAATGCTGCTATTGATTATGAAGATGACCCAAATGTAATTGGAAGCAGCAATGGGAATTCCTCAAATCGTAAAAAGCGTGACTTGCTTCGACACCAGGAAATGAAAGTCAACTTTCCAAATGTTGCGCGTAAGTATGGACACCATCAAAACATTCCATCACATAGAGTTTATTGAGTACATATTTAGCACTGGCAAGTAGAAAATTACCCCTGGTGAGCATTATGTGTAGCTAATTGTGCTCATGTTTTTCCCACCCTTCACTTAGAATTGAGAGCATTCAAGTAAGTAGGCCTGATGTTATAACTGATCATGGGAATTTTTATGCCATAAAGGGACACTTCACTGCCCAAATAAAAACACAGTTTAGTAGTGATTCAAAATAAAAACATTCATACCTTTAATTATGCATTTTTCATATCGAAAAGCATTTTGCAAAAGCTGCAGTTATCTTGTCTGAAGCCTTTTGAAGCTTCAGACTTTCAGTGTCTGTCCAACCACTGACATCTCAATGCAGCTCAATGAGAAGGCTTTGCAAGGCAGATGCTCTGAGCAATTGCTACTTCTTGAGTTTAGCTCCACTGAGCTAAACATCCCAGGAAGAAACATGACATGTTGTCAGTTTGATAACCATGGGGGTGTAATAAGGTTAATTTACAAAAGTGACAATTTCTATTGAACTCTACACTTTGTGTAAAATGAAAGAGAGAGGACACACTTGCACATAAAGCACTTCAGCAAGCTAAAGTACTTTGGTGTCCAGAGTGTCCTTTTAATCCATTTCTGATATGATGACATATACTGTGCTGTTAAAGGATTGTGTCTTGTGATTACATTGTCTTAAAATAGGACTCCATGCTGGAACGCACATATTCTGTTTATAAAGATTTGTTTAGATAGTGCATTAATAATGTGCAAAAGTTCCAAAATAATAAAATGCACAAAAGTTACTTAAGTTTGATTGAATTCCCCATAGTTAACATAAACTGCAAGACACGATCAATCAGTCGGGATGTTCTTATGTTTTCTGTAGAACATTTCAAAGTGCCGACTTTATCCCATAAATCTCTGCACAGAATAGCTTTATGGACAGAACAGGGGTTGCTGGAAATTGTAATTCAGTTATCAGATTTTGTATTTATGAAAAAACTCACAAAAAACATGTGCTGGATTTACTGTTGCCATAAACAACTGTGTGATAACATGAAACAACTATGCAGGAGATACAGTGCAGGTTGAGAGAGACAGTAATCAAGAAAAATGTACAGACAGTAAGCAGGAAGAAGGAAGTATTTTAGAATGGAGGAAGTAGAATTAGGGGAGTAGGGAGGGTTAAGATGTCAAATTTTGCTAAAACATCTAGTAATTTCAACTATACAAAATTGAGCATGCAAAATACAGCCAATTATTTAAGCCACAATCTGTAGAATGCATGAAAGTTTTGTTGGTAACAGGAGTGTCGATTTAATGTTCTTGGATTTTTTTTTTTTTTTTATCTGAAATATATTGTACTGAAAAGTATAATTTGATGGGTCATTACAATTTTCTAATGTTACAGAAACAAAATCATCTGGTGGTTTCGAAGCAAGAGCTGCTATGCAAAGTCATGGCGGTTTATTTAGCGGTGGATCACAATCCAGCATTTCACAGCAAGGACAAGGTGAGTTACAGCTTGTGATGCACAAATTTAGTTGGTTTGCCATTTTAGTAGTAATATGAAACCTGAAAAATGTTTCCTTTTAAAGGGAACTGTCACTTCCCCATTTAAAAATTATGTTTACTGGCTCCCTATATATAACAAATATTTATTTTGGAGGTGTGAAAATAAAATGTGTAAATTAGCACCTATTTATCCTGCGACTGGGTGCCTCCATCTTAGCTCTCTATCAGTCACTGTCATAAGTTCTGTCTTTACACCAACGGCTGTTAGAGCATTATAAAAAAGGTAGTTCACAACATCTGGATTGCTGAAGGTTGGCTACTCCTGGCTTAGAATGAACTTGAGTTTGACTTAATTTGCAAAAATGTCAATATATATTGGGGGGAAGAAAAACAGAGCAAATTTATGGTATAGTTTCTTGAGAACTGACTGAAAAACAAAATATGTTTCACTATCACCTTTTATTCAGGTGTTTTGTTTCATTGTATTGTCTCTATGAAATTAACATCAATAATGCAGAAACTAAATGTGTCTCCTATTTATTGCAGTGGGTTTTGGTGTTGGCGGTTTACATTTGGGAGGCTCTGTCCAAGGTGGATCCAGTTTTAGCAGCAGAAGCAGCGACTCACAAGCAAATGGTAAGTTCTAACTCATAGTTACTCATTTTAGATGGTCAGATCCATAGAATATCTGCAATATTTTCTTCACAGTCACCTGATTTGAGGTAAGGAAAATTAAACAATTGCTTAGCACTTACAACGGCACAAAGCATCTCTAAGTATATCTAAATGATAACCTTTTCCAAAAATGTTTTGCTTACAATTTCTAAACAAAATATTTCGATGGATTTTTTAAATGCAAAGAGATGAATATGCAGAACCTTTATAACATAAATAATGATTTGATATTACCTTTTGTTCCTTATAGGAAATGCTGCAATTGGAGGTCTCCAAGTAGGGGGTTCATTAGGTCATAAAAGCGGCATCAGTGAATCTCATAGTGGTGGTGCGAATGGTGGTGTAGAAGGTAGACAAAGTAAGTTAACATCTTTTTGAAACAAGTAATAATAGTCACACACATAAAATGAATTCAAACTGAACTTTAAATGAAAGGCGGGGGTGGCTGAACTAGAAACAATTGTCATACCAGCTATATATCTAGTTCACCTAACATTAGTCTTAAATATAACATTCACTTTCACTTTTTAAGTCACATCTAATTCTCTCCCAAGATTAAAATAAATCCACTGAAGTTCACAAGTAAATATTTATTTTGATTAGTTGGTTTGAATGGAAATCTACAAGCTGGATGTACCAATCTAGAGCAGGGAGCTGGAGTAGGTCTTGGGCATCATGAATCTAGCACTATCAAGAATGACAAGGCAGATATTGGTGGAGATGTCAATAGAAGAATAGAAAGAGGGAAACTCCCTTCAAATCCCTACAAATAAAAATATGTAATAACATCTTCAAAGCTTAAAGCTTTGAGTGTTGATTGTATTCACTTCATATCAAATATATAACCATTTTTTAATTCAACCCTGAATGGCTTCATTTACAATTTGTAGTGTCAACCAGAAAGTGGTAGATGGAGTTAGTCAAAGATTCAGTGCTAGCTAGACAGAAAAGAAAACAATCATTGTGGAAGATGTAAGGGAAAGAAAAGATGGAAGCAAACATAACTAAACTCCCCTCTCTCCAAATATTTGTAATACCAGTTTGGATTCCAATAACCTCTTTTTACAAAATACCTTTTTCATAAAAACATGGAATTATTTCAATATTAAAATATGAAACCACAAAGGCTAATATTTTTTTTTTAATTTGTTTAATCAGAATCACTTGGCCCGAATGAGGTTGTAAATATTGGTGGGATAAAGTTAAAACTTGGAGGTGGAATTAACCTATGTCACCATTAATTCTGTACTAGCTGGGAAGGAAAAAAGACAATCATTGGTAGAGATGTGAGTGGAGAATTAGAAGGAAGGAAATATTAGTAAAGTTTTTATAAAATTTTATTTCAGCTTCTCCCACTTCTAATGGTTTTGAGAACACATTTCTCATACATTTTCAGAATTACAATATAAACCAACACACGCTAATAGATGTTTAAATTTGTTTAATAGATTCAGTTGGCCTGAATAGTGATGTAGAACTTAGTGGTGCAAAAATAGAACTTGGAGGTGGAGAAGGCCATAGAAACCATGTATTCAGTACTAGCTGGGAAGGGAAGAAGACAATTATTGGTGGACGTGTGAGCGAAGAAACAGAAGGAAGCAAACATTAGCAAAGCTCTTGTGACAAATTATTTCCGCTTTGTTTACACTATTAGTTTTTGAAGAAAACATTTCTCTTAATTTCTGGGATTACAAAATTAATTCACACATACTAATAGTTGTTTTAATTTGTTTAACTAGATTCAGTTGGCCTGAATGGCAATATAAAAATTGGTGGTGCAAAAATAGAACTTGGAGGTGGAGAAGGTCATGGACACAGTGAATTCAGTACTAGCTGGGAAGGGAAGAAGACAATCATTGGTGGAGGTGTGAGCGGAGAAATAGAAGGAAGCAAACGTTAGTAAAGTTTGTTTTTTAATGGAATTTAATTTCAGCTTTTCCTACTTCTGGTTGTTTTGAGAACACATTTCTCATACATTTTCAGAATTACAATATAAACCAACAAATGCAAATAGTTGTTTAAATGTGTTTAAATAGATTCAGTTGGCCTGAATGGCAATGTAGAAATTAGTGGTGCCAAAATAGAACTTGGAGGTGGAGAAGGTCATGGACTGCATGAATTCAGTACTAGCTGGGAAGGGAAGAAGACAATCATTGGTGGAGGTGTGAGCGGAAAAATAGAAGGAAGCAAACGTTAGTAAATCTTTCTGTATAATGTTACTTTGTTTCAAATGCTCTCCATTATTAAAATATTAAAAATAAAATAGATTTATATAGTAACCCAGAAAAGCTTACAGTATTCAATTCATATAATTAGATTCACTTGGTTTGAATGGTGATGTAGAACTTGGTGGTGCAAAAATAGAACTTGGAGGTGGAGAAGGTCATGGACACCGTGAATTCAGTACTAGCTGGGAAGGGAAGAAGACAATCATTGGTGGAGGTGTGAGCGGAGAAATAGAAGGAAGCAAACGTTAGTAAAGTTTGTTTTTTAATGGAATTTAATTTCAGCTTTTCCTACTTCTGGTTGTTTTGAGAACTCATTTCTCATACATTTTCAGAATTACAATATGAACCAGCTAATGCTAATAGATGTTTAAATATGTTTAATTAGATTCAGTTGGCCTGAATGGCAATGTAGAAATTGGTGGTGCCAAAATAGAACTTGGAGGTGGAGAAGGTCATGGACACCGTGAATTCAGTACTAGCTGGGAAGGGAAGAAGACAATCATTGGTGGAGGTGTGAGCGGAGAAATAGAAGGAAGCAAACGTTAGTAAATCTTTCTATATAATGTTACTTTGTTTCCAAATTCCTTCTATAGTGAAATATTAAAAATAAAATAGATTTATATATAATTTTACAAAAGCTAACAGTTTTCAATTCATACAATTAGATTCACTTGGTTTGAATGGCAATGTAGAACTAGGTGGTGCAAAAATAGAACTTGGAGGTGGAGAACGTCATGGACACCGTGAATTCAGTACTAGCTGGGAAGGGAAGAAGACAATCATTGGTGGAGGTGTGAGCGGAGAAATAGAAGGAAGCAAACGTTAGTAAAGTTTGTTTTTTTATGGAATTTAATTTCAGCTTTTCCTACTTCTGGTTGTTTTGAGAACTCATTTCTCATACATTTTCAGAATTACAATATGAACCAACAAATGCTAATAGTTGTTTAAATGTGTTTAATTAGATTCAGTTGGCCTGAATGGCAATGTAGAAATTGGTGGTGCCAAAATAGAACTTGGAGGTGGAGAAGGTCATGGACACAGTGAATTCAGTACTAGCTGGGAAGGGAAGAAGACAATCATTGGTGGAGGTGTGAGCGGAGAAATAGAAGGAAGCAAACGTTAGTAAATCTTTCTATATATTGTTAATTTGTTTCTAATTCATTCTTTAGTGAAATATTAAAAATAAAATAGATTTACATATTAATCCACAAAAGCTAACAGTTTTCAATTCATATAATTAGATTCACTTGGTTTGAATGGCAATGTAGAACTTGGTGGTGCAAAAATAGAACTTGGAGGTGGAGAAGGTCATGGACACCGTGAATTCAGTACTAGCTGGGAAGGGAAGAAGACAATCATTGGTGGAGGTGTGAGCGGAGAAATAGAAGGAAGCAAACGTTAGTAAAGTTTGTTTTTTAATGGAATTTAATTTCAGCTTTTCCTACTTCTGGTTGTTTTGAGAACACATTTCTCATACATTTTCAGAATTACAACATGAACCAACTAATGCTAATAGTTGTTTAAATGTGTTTAATTAGATTCAGTTGGCCTGAATGGCAATGTAGAAATTGGTGGTGCCAAAATAGAACTTGGAGGTGGAGAAGGTCATGGACAGCATGAATTCAGTACTAGCTGGGAAGGGAAGAAGACAATCATTGGTGGAGGTGTGAGCGGAGAAATAGAAGGAAGCAAACGTTAGTAAATCTTTCTATATATTGTTAATTTGTTTCTAATTCCCTTCTTTAGTGAAATATTAAAAATAAAATAGATTTACATATTAATCCACAAAAGCTAACAGTTTTCAATTCATATAATTAGATTCACTTGGTTTGAATGGCAATGTAGAACTTGGTGGTGCAAAAATAGAACTTGGAGGTGGAAAAGGTCATGGACACCGTGAATTCAGTACTAGCTGGGAAGGGAAGAAGACAATCATTGGTGGAGGTGTGAGCGGAGAAATAGAAGGAAGCAAAAGTTAGTAAATTTTGTTTTTTAATGGAATTTAATTTCAGCTTTTCCTACTTCTGGTTGTTTTGAGAACACATTTCTAATACATTTTCAGAATTACAACATGAACCAACTAATGCTAATAGTTGTTTAAATGTGTTTAATTAGATTCAGTTGGCCTGAATGGCAATGTAGAAATTGGTGGTGCCAAAATAGAACTTGGAGGTGGAGAACATCATGGACACCGTGAATTCAGTACTAGCTGGGAAGGGAAGAAGACAATCATTGGTGGAGGTGTGAGCGGAGAAATAGAAGGAAGCAAACGTTAGTAAATCTTTCTATATATTGTTAATTTGTTTCTAATTCCCTTCTTTAGTGAAATATTAAAAATAAAATAGATTTACATATTAATCCACAAAAGCTAACAGTTTTCAATTCATATAATTAGATTCACTTGGTTTGAATGGCAATGTAGAACTTGGTGGTGCAAAAATAGAACTTGGAGGTGGAGAACATCATGGACACCGTGAATTCAGTACTAGCTGGGAAGGGAAGAAGACAATCATTGGTGGAGGTGTGAGCGGAGAAATAGAAGGAAGCAAACGTTAGTAAAGTTTGTTTTTTAATGGAATTTAATTTCAGCTTTTCCTACTTCTGGTTGTTTTGAGAACTAATTTCTCATACATTTTCAGAATTACAATATGAACCAACAAATGCTAATAGTTGTTTAAATGTGTTTAATTAGATTCAGTTGGCCTGAATGGCAATGTAGAAATTGGTGGTGCCAAAATAGAACTTGGAGGTGGAGAAGGTCATGGACACAGTGAATTCAGTACTAGCTGGGAAGGGAAGAAGACAATCATTGGTGGAGGTGTGAGCGGAGAAATAGAAGGAAGCAAACGTTAGTAAAGTTTGTTTTTTAATGGAATTTAATTTCAGCTTTTCCTACTTCTGGTTGTTTTGAGAACACATTTCTCATACATTTTCAGAATTACAACATGAACCAACTAATGCTAATAGTTGTTTAAATGTGTTTAATTAGATTCAGTTGGCCTGAATGGCAATGTAGAAATTGGTGGTGCCAAAATAGAACTTGGAGGTGGAAAAGGTCATGGACAGCATGAATTCAGTACTAGCTGGGAAGGGAAGAAGACCATCATTGGTGGAGGTGTGAGCGGAGAAATAGAAGGAAGCAAACGTTAGTAAATCTTTCTATATATTGTTAATTTGTTTCTAATTCCATTCTTTAGTGAAATATTAAAAATAAAATAGATTTACATATTAATCCACAAAAGCTAACAGTTTTCAATTCATATAATTAGATTCACTTGGTTTGAATGGCAATGTAGAACTTGGTGGTGCCAAAATAGAACTTGGAGGTGGAGAAGGTCATGGACACCGTGAATTCAGTACTAGCTGGGAAGGGAAGAAGACAATCATTGGTGGAGGTGTGAGCGGAGAAATAGAAGGAAGCAAACGTTAGTAAAGTTTGTTTTTTAATGGAATTTAATTTCAGCTTTTCCTACTTCTGGTTGTTTTGAGAACTAATTTCTCATACATTTTCAGAATTACAATATGAACCAACTAATGCTAATAGTTGTTTAAATGTGTTTAATTAGATTCAGTTGGCCTGAATGGCAATGTAGAAATTGGTGGTGCCAAAATAGAACTTGGAGGTGGAGAAGGTCATGGACAGCATGAATTCAGTACTAGCTGGGAAGGGAAGAAGACAATCATTGGTGGAGGTGTGAGCGGAGAAATAGAAGGAAGCAAACGTTAGTAAATCTTTCTATATATTGTTAATTTGTTTCTAATTCCCTTCTTTAGTGAAATATTAAAAATAAAATAGATTTACATATTAATCCACAAAAGCTAACAGTTTTCAATTCATATAATTAGATTCACTTGGTTTGAATGGCAATGTAGAACTTGGTGGTGCAAAAATAGAACTTGGAGGTGGAAAAGGTCATGGACACCGTGAATTCAGTACTAGCTGGGAAGGGAAGAAGACAATCATTGGTGGAGGTGTGAGCGGAGAAATAGAAGGAAGCAAAAGTTAGTAAATTTTGTTTTTTAATGGAATTTAATTTCAGCTTTTCCTACTTCTGGTTGTTTTGAGAACACATTTCTCATACATTTTCAGAATTACAACATGAACCAACTAATGCTAATAGTTGTTTAAATGTGTTTAATTAGATTCAGTTGGCCTGAATGGCAATGTAGAAATTGGTGGTGCCATAATAGAACTTGGAGGTGGAGAACATCATGGACACCGTGAATTCAGTACTAGCTGGGAAGGGAAGAAGACAATCATTGGTGGAGGTGTGAGCGGAGAAATAGAAGGAAGCAAACGTTAGTAAAGTTTGTTTTTTAATGGAATTTAATTTCAGCTTTTCCTACTTCTGGTTGTTTTGAGAACTCATTTCTCATACATTTTCAGAATTACAATATGAACCAACTAATGCTAATAGTTGTTTAAATGTGTTTAATTAGATTCAGTTGGCCTGAATGGCAATGTAGAAATTGGTGGTGCCAAAATAGAACTTGGAGGTGGAGAAGGTCATGGACACCGTGAATTCAGTACTAGCTGGGAAGGGAAGAAGACAATCATTGGTGGAGGTGTGAGCGGAGAAATAGAAGGAAGCAAACGTTAGTAAATCTTTCTATATATTGTTAATTTGTTTCTAATTCCATTCTTTAGTGAAATATTAAAAATAAAATAGATTTACATATTAATCCACAAAAGCTAACAGTTTTCAATTCATATAATTAGATTCACTTGGTTTGAATGGCAATGTAGAACTTGGTGGTGCAAAAATAGAACTTGGAGGTGGAGAACGTCATGGACACCGTGAATTCAGTACTAGCTGGGAAGGGAAGAAGACAATCATTGGTGGAGGTGTGAGCGGAGAAATAGAAGGAAGCAAACGTTAGTAAAGTTTGTTTTTTAATGGAATTTAATTTCAGCTTTTCCTACTTCTGGTTGTTTTGAGAACTCATTTCTCATACATTTTCAGAATTACAATATGAACCAACTAATGCTAATAGTTGTTTAAATGTGTTTAATTAGATTCAGTTGGCCTGAATGGCAATGTAGAAATTGGTGGTGCCAAAATAGAACTTGGAGGTGGAGAAGGTCATGGACACAGTGAATTCAGTACTAGCTGGGAAGGGAAGAAGACAATCATTGGTGGAGGTGTGAGCGGAGAAATAGAAGGAAGCAAACGTTAGTAAATCTTTCTATATATTGTTAATTTGTTTCTAATTCCATTCTTTAGTGAAATATTAAAAATAAAATAGATTTACATATTAATCCACAAAAGCTAACAGTTTTCAATTCATATAATTAGATTCACTTGGTTTGAATGGCAATGTAGAACTTGGTGGTGCAAAAATAGAACTTGGAGGTGGAGAAGGTCATGGACACCGTGAATTCAGTACTAGCTGGGAAGGGAAGAAGACAATCATTGGTGGAGGTGTGAGCGGAGAAATAGAAGGAAGCAAACGTTAGTAAAGTTTGTTTTTTAATGGAATTTAATTTCAGCTTTTCCTACTTCTGGTTGTTTTGAGAACACATTTCTCATACATTTTCAGAATTACAACATGAACCAACTAATGCTAATAGTTGTTTAAATGTGTTTAATTAGATTCAGTTGGCCTGAATGGCAATGTAGAAATTGGTGGTGCCAAAATAGAACTTGGAGGTGGAAAAGGTCATGGACAGCATGAATTCAGTACTAGCTGGGAAGGGAAGAAGACCATCATTGGTGGAGGTGTGAGCGGAGAAATAGAAGGAAGCAAACGTTAGTAAATCTTTCTATATATTGTTAATTTGTTTCTAATTCCATTCTTTAGTGAAATATTAAAAATAAAATAGATTTACATATTAATCCACAAAAGCTAACAGTTTTCAATTCATATAATTAGATTCACTTGGTTTGAATGGCAATGTAGAACTTGGTGGTGCCAAAATAGAACTTGGAGGTGGAGAAGGTCATGGACACCGTGAATTCAGTACTAGCTGGGAAGGGAAGAAGACAATCATTGGTGGAGGTGTGAGCGGAGAAATAGAAGGAAGCAAACGTTAGTAAAGTTTGTTTTTTAATGGAATTTAATTTCAGCTTTTCCTACTTCTGGTTGTTTTGAGAACACATTTCTCATACATTTTCAGAATTACAACATGAACCAACTAATGCTAATAGTTGTTTAAATGTGTTTAATTAGATTCAGTTGGCCTGAATGGCAATGTAGAAATTGGTGGTGCCAAAATAGAACTTGGAGGTGGAGAAGGACATGGACAGCATGAATTCAGTACTAGGTGGGAAGGGAAGAAGACAATCATTGGTGGAGGTGTGAGCTTAGAAATAGAAGGAAGCAAACGTTAGTAAATCTTTCTATATATTGTTAATTTGTTTCTAATTCCCTTCTTCAGTGAAATATTAAAAATAAAATAGATTTACATATTAATCCACAAAAGCTGACAGTTTTCAATTCATATAATTAGATTCACTTGGTTTGAATGGCAATGTAGAACTTGGTGGTGCAAAAATAGAACTTGGAGGTGGAGAACATCATGGACACCGTGAATTCAGTACTAGCTGGGAAGGGAAGAAGACAATCATTGGTGGAGGTGTGAGCGGAGAAATAGAAGGAAGCAAACGTTAGTAAATCTTTCTATATATTGTTAATTTGTTTCTAATTCCCTTCTTCAGTGAAATATTAAAAATAAAATAGATTTACATATCAATCCACAAACGCTAACAGTTTTCAATTCATATAATTAATTTCACTTGGTTTGAATGGCAATGTAGAAGTTGGTGGTGCAAAAATAGAACTTGGAGGTGGAGAAGGTCATGGACACCGTGAATTCAGTACTAGCTGGGAAGGGAAGAAGACAATCATTGGTGGAGGTGTGGGTGGAGAAATAGAAGGAAGCAAACGTTAGTAAAGTTTGTTTTTTAATGGAATTTAATTTCAGCTTTTCCTACTTCTGGTTGTTTTGAGAACACATTTCTCATACATTTTCAGAATTACAACATGAACCAACTAATGCTAATAGTTGTTTAAATGTGTTTAATTAGATTCAGTTGGCCTGAATGGCAATGTAGAAATTGGTGGTGCCAAAATAGAACTTGGAGGTGGAGAAGGTCATGGACAGCATGAATTCAGTACTAGCTGGGAAGGGAAGAAGACAATCATTGGTGGAGGTGTGAGCGGAGAAATAGAAGGAAGCAAACGTTAGTAAATCTTTCTATATATTGTTAATTTGTTTCTAATTCCCTTCTTTAGTGAAATATTAAAAATAAAATAGATTTACATATTAATCCACAAAAGCTAACAGTTTTCAATTCATATAATTAGATTCACTTGGTTTGAATGGCAATGTAGAACTTGGTGGTGCAAAAATAGAACTTGGAGGTGGAAAAGGTCATGGACACCGTGAATTCAGTACTAGCTGGGAAGGGAAGAAGACAATCATTGGTGGAGGTGTGAGCGGAGAAATAGAAGGAAGCAAAAGTTAGTAAATTTTGTTTTTTAATGGAATTTAATTTCAGCTTTTCCTACTTCTGGTTGTTTTGAGAACACATTTCTCATACATTTTCAGAATTACAACATGAACCAACTAATGCTAATAGTTGTTTAAATGTGTTTAATTAGATTCAGTTGGCCTGAATGGCAATGTAGAAATTGGTGGTGCCATAATAGAACTTGGAGGTGGAGAACATCATGGACACCGTGAATTCAGTACTAGCTGGGAAGGGAAGAAGACAATCATTGGTGGAGGTGTGAGCGGAGAAATAGAAGGAAGCAAACGTTAGTAAAGTTTGTTTTTTAATGGAATTTAATTTCAGCTTTTCCTACTTCTGGTTGTTTTGAGAACTAATTTCTCATACATTTTCAGAATTACAATATGAACCAACAAATGCTAATAGTTGTTTAAATGTGTTTAATTAGATTCAGTTGGCCTGAATGGCAATGTAGAAATTGGTGGTGCCAAAATAGAACTTGGAGGTGGAGAAGGTCATGGACACAGTGAATTCAGTACTAGCTGGGAAGGGAAGAAGACAATCATTGGTGGAGGTGTGAGCGGAGAAATAGAAGGAAGCAAACGTTAGTAAATCTTTCTATATATTGTTAATTTGTTTCTAATTCCATTCTTTAGTGAAATATTAAAAATAAAATAGATTTACATATTAATCCACAAAAGCTAACAGTTTTCAATTCATATAATTAGATTCACTTGGTTTGAATGGCAATGTAGAACTTGGTGGTGCAAAAATAGAACTTGGAGGTGGAGAAGGTCATGGACACCGTGAATTCAGTACTAGCTGGGAAGGGAAGAAGACAATCATTGGTGGAGGTGTGAGCGGAGAAATAGAAGGAAGCAAACGTTAGTAAAGTTTGTTTTTTAATGGAATTTAATTTCAGCTTTTCCTACTTCTGGTTGTTTTGAGAACACATTTCTCATACATTTTCAGAATTACAACATGAACCAACTAATGCTAATAGTTGTTTAAATGTGTTTAATTAGATTCAGTTGGCCTGAATGGCAATGTAGAAATTGGTGGTGCCAAAATAGAACTTGGAGGTGGAGAAGGTCATGGACAGCATGAATTCAGTACTAGCTGGGAAGGGAAGAAGACAATCATTGGTGGAGGTGTGAGCGGAGAAATAGAAGGAAGCAAACGTTAGTAAATCTTTCTATATATTGTTAATTTGTTTCTAATTCCATTCTTTAGTGAAATATTAAAAATAAAATAGATTTACATATTAATCCACAAAAGCTAACAGTTTTCAATTCATATAATTAGATTCACTTGGTTTGAATGGCAATGTAGAACTTGGTGGTGCAAAAATAGAACTTGGAGGTGGAGAAGGTCATGGACACCGTGAATTCAGTACTAGCTGGGAAGGGAAGAAGACAATCATTGGTGGAGGTGTGAGCGGAGAAATAGAAGGAAGCAAACGTTAGTAAAGTTTGTTTTTTAATGGAATTTAATTTCAGCTTTTCCTACTTCTGGTTGTTTTGAGAACTCATTTCTCATACATTTTCAGAATTACAACATGAACCAACTAATGCTAATAGTTGTTTAAATGTGTTTAATTAGATTCAGTTGGCCTGAATGGCAATGTAGAAATTGGTGGTGCCAAAATAGAACTTGGAGGTGGAGAAGGTCATGGACAGCATGAATTCAGTACTAGCTGGGAAGGGAAGAAGACCATCATTGGTGGAGGTGTGAGCGGAGAAATAGAAGGAAGCAAACGTTAGTAAATCTTTCTATATATTGTTAATTTGTTTCTAATTCCATTCTTTAGTGAAATATTAAAAATAAAATAGATTTACATATTAATCCACAAAAGCTAACAGTTTTCAATTCATATAATTAGATTCACTTGGTTTGAATGGCAATGTAGAACTTGGTGGTGCAAAAATAGAACTTGGAGGTGGAGAAGGTCATGGACACCGTGAATTCAGTACTAGCTGGGAAGGGAAGAAGACAATCATTGGTGGAGGTGTGAGCGGAGAAATAGAAGGAAGCAAACGTTAGTAAAGTTTGTCTTTTAATGGAATTTAATTTCAGCCTTTCCTACTTCTGGTTGCTTTGAGAACTCATTTCTCATACATTTTCAGAATTAAAATATGAACCAACTAATGCTAATAGTTGTTTAAATGTGTTTAATTAGATTCAGTTGGTCTGAATGGCAATGTAGAAATTGGTGGTGCCAAAATAGAACTTGGAGGTGGAGAAGGTCATGGACAACGTGAACATTTATGATATTTTAGTTCAGCTTTTCTTCCTCTACTTGTTTTGAGAACACTTTCTCATACATTTTTGGGATTGATATATATACCCACAAATGCTTACAAGTCTTTTCATTTGTTTAATATGAATCAGTTGGCCTAAATGGCAATGTAGAATTCGGTCGTGCAAAAATAGAATTTGGAGGTGGAGAAGGTCATAGACATGATGAATTCAGTACTAGCTGGGAAGGGAAGAGAACATTCATTCTTGGAGGTGTAAGCAGAGAATTAGAATGAAGCAAAATTTAGCAAATATTTCTATATATTGTTACTTTGCTTCCAAAGCCCTCCTTTTATGCAATATATTTACATTTCTTTTAGATTAAGCTAATAATCCACACAAGCTAACAGTTTTCAATTTATATAATTAGATTCACTTGGTTTGAATGGTGATGTAGAAATTGGTGGTGCAAAAATAGAGCTTGGAGGTGGAGCAGGCCACAGACACCATGAATTAAATACGACTTGGCAAGAGAAGAAGACTATAAGTGGTGGAGGAGAGAGTGGAGAATTAGAAGGAATCAAACGTTAGTAAATCTCTGCATGACATATACTGTCCTCTTTGTATCTGATTACCTCTTTCTTTAACTTTTTGTTTTATATAGGCTTAAAATGCCTATGCACAAAAGCTAAAATAGTTTGAATTCTTTAATTAGATGCACTTGGTTTGAACGGCAATGTAGAACTTGGTGGTGCAAAAATAGAACTTGGAGGTGGAGAAGGTCATGGACACCGGGAATTCAGTACTAGCTGGGAAGGGAAGAAGACAATCATTGGTGGAGGTGTGAGCGGAGAAATAGAAGGAAGCAAACGTTAGTAAATCTTTCTATATAATGTTACTTTGTTTCCAAAGTCCTTTTTTAGTGAAATATTACAAATAAAATAGATTTATATATAATTTTACAAAAGCTAACGGTTTTCAATTCATACAATTAGATTCACTTGGTTTGAATGGCAATGTAGAACTTGGTGGTGCAAAATTAGAACTTGGAGGTGGAGAACGTCATGGACACCGTGAATTCAGTACTAGCTGGGAAGGGAAGAAGACAATCATTGGTGGAGGTGTGAGCGGAGAAATAGAAGGAAGCAAACGTTAGTAAAGTTTGTTTTTTAATGGAATTTAATTTCAGCTTTTCCTACTTCTGGTTGTTTTGAGAACTCATTTCTCATACATTTTCAGAATTACAATATGAACCAACTAATGCTAATAGTTGTTTAAATGTGTTTAATTAGATTCAGTTGGTCTGAATGGCAATGTAGAAATTGGTGGTGCCAAAATAGAACTTGGAGGTGGAGAAGGTCATGGACAACGTGAACATTTATGATATTTTAGTTCAGCTTTTCTTCCTCTACTTGTTTTGAGAACACTTTCTCATACATTTTTGGGATTGATATATATACCCACAAATGCTTACAAGTCTTTTCATTTGTTTAATATAAATCAGTTGGCCTAAATGGCAATGTAGAATTCGGTTGTGCAAAAATAGAATTTGGAGGTGGAGAAGGTCATAGACATGATGAATTCAGTACTAGCTGGGAAGGGAAGAGAACATTCATTCTTGGAGGTGTAAGCAGAGAATTAGAATGAAGCAAAATTTAGCAAATATTTCTATATATTGTTACTTTGCTTCCAAAGCCCTCCTTTTATGCAATATATTTACATTTCTTTTAGATTAAGCTAATAATCCACACAAGCTAACAGTTTTCAATTTATATAATTAGATTCACTTGGTTTGAATGGTGATGTAGAAATTGGTGGTGCAAAAATAGAGCTTGGAGGTGGAGCAGGCCACAGACACCATGAATTAAATACGACTTGGCAAGTGAAGAAGACTATAAGTGGTGGAGGAGAGAGTGGAGAATTAGAAGGAATCAAACGTTAGTAAATCTCTGCATGACATATACTGTCCTCTTTGTATCTGATTACCTCTTTCTTTAACTTTTTGTTTTATATAGGCTTAAAATGCCTATGCACAAAAGCTAAAATAGTTTGAATTCTTTAATTAGATGCACTTGGTTTGAACGGCAATGTAGAACTTGGTGGTGCAAAAATAGAACTTGGAGGTGGAGAAGGTCATGGACACCGGGAATTCAGTACTAGCTGGGAAGGGAAGAAAACAATCATTGGTGGAGGTGTGAGCGGAGAAATAGAAGGAAGCAAACGTTAGTAAATCTTTCTATATAATGTTACTTTGTTTCCAAAGTCCTTTTTTAGTGAAATATTACAAATAAAATAGATTTATATATAATTTTACAAAAGCTAACGGTTTTCAATTCATACAATTAGATTCACTTGGTTTGAATGGCAATGTAGAACTTGGTGGTGCAAAATTAGAACTTGGAGGTGGAGAACGTCATGGACACCGTGAATTCAGTACTAGCTGGGAAGGGAAGAAGACAATCATTGGTGGAGGTGTGAGCGGAGAAATAGAAGGAAGCAAACGTTAGTAAAGTTTGTTTTTTAATGGAATTTAATTTCAGCTTTTCCTACTTCTGGTTGTTTTGAGAACTCATTTCTCATACATTTTCAGAATTACAATATGAACCAGCTAATGCTAATAGATGTTTAAATATGTTTAATTAGATTCAGTTGGCCTGAATGGCAATGTAGAAATTGGTGGTGCCAAAATAGAACTTGGAGGTGGAGAAGGTCATGGACACCGTGAATTCAGTACTAGCTGGGAAGGGAAGAAGACAATCATTGGTGGAGGTGTGAGCGGAGAAATAGAAGGAAGCAAACGTTAGTAAATCTTTCTATATAATGTTACTTTGTTTCCAAATTCCTTCTATAGTGAAATATTAAAAATAAAATAGATTTATATATAATTTTACAAAAGCTAACAGTTTTCAATTCATACAATTAGATTCACTTGGTTTGAATGGCAATGTAGAACTAGGTGGTGCAAAAATAGAACTTGGAGGTGGAGAACGTCATGGACACCGTGAATTCAGTACTAGCTGGGAAGGGAAGAAGACAATCATTGGTGGAGGTGTGAGCGGAGAAATAGAAGGAAGCAAACGTTAGTGAAGTTTGTTTTTTAATGGAATTTAATTTCAGCTTTTCCTACTTCTGGTTGTTTTGAGAACTCATTTCTCATACATTTTCAGAATTACAATATGAACCAACTAATGCTAATAGATGTTTAAATATGTTTAATTAGATTCAGTTGGCCTGAATGGCAATGTAGAAATTGGTGGTGCCAAAATAGAACTTGGAGGTGGAGAAGGTCATGGACAGCATGAATTCAGTACTAGCTGGGAAGGGAAGAAGACAATCATTGGTGGAGGTGTGAGCGGAGAAATAGAAGGAAGCAAACGTTAGTAAATCTTTCTATATATTGTTACATTGTTTCCAATGCTCTCCTTTATTGAAATATAAAGAATAAAATAGATTTATATATAAACCCACAAAAGCTAACAGTTTTCAATTCATATATTTAGATTCACTTGGTTTGAATGGCAATGTAGAACTTGGTGGTGCAAAAATAGAACTTGGAGGTGGCAAAGGTCATGGACACCGTGAATTCAGTACTAGCTGGGGAGGGAAGAAGACAATCATTGGTGGAGGTGTGAGCGGAGAAATAGAAGGAAGCAAACGTTAGTAAAGTTTGTTTTTTAATGGAATTTAATTTCAGCTTTTCCTACTTCTGGTTGTTTTGAGAACACATTTCTCATACATTTTCGGAATTACAATATGAACCAACAAATGCTAATAGTTGTTTAAATGTGTTTAATTAGATTCAATTGGTCTGAATGGCAATGTAGAAATTGATGCGTCAAAAATAGAGCATTTAGGTGGAGAAGGTCATGGACACCAGGAATTCAGTACTAGCTGGGAAGGGAAAAAGACAATCATTGGTGGAGACTTGAGTGGAGAAATAGAAGGAAGCAAATGTTAGTATAGCTCTTCATGAAATTTATTTTCAGCTTTGCATTTCACCTCATCTTTTGTGAATGGATTAAAATTAAATTTTAATAGTTTGTTTTATTTGTTTAATTAGAGTCAGCCTGAATGGCAATTTTGAAATTGGTGGTTAAAAATAGAGGTTTGAGGTTGAGCAGATCGCAGACACCATGAATTCAATATTAATTGGAAGTGATGAAGACTTTAGGCTTAAAATGCACATGCACAAAAGCTAATATAGATTGAATTCTTGAAATAGATTCACTTGGCATGAATGGGGATGTATACATTTTTGGAGGAGGAGCACTTCATGGTCACCATACATTCAATACTAGCAAAAAGACAATTGCTGGTGGAGATGGGAGCAGAGAGTTAGAAGGAATCAAACGTTAGTAAACCTCTCCATGAAATACATAGTCAGCTTTGTTTTCAACCACCTTTTTATTTGCATGTTTAATATTTTTTCAGTTTTAAAGTTATTTCAGTTTGTTTAATTAGAATCACTTTGCAATTTAGAAATTGCAATTTAGAAACTGGCGGTACAAACATATATTAGAGGTGGAATACACCATGGGTACTATGAATTCAATACTAGTTGAAGAAGTTAAAAAGATAAATTGGTGGGGGTGTGAGTAGAATATTACAAGGTTTAGCTACATCTCTGGTACCTAGCTTATCTATGTAAGTGTAGTGTTTAAAACTGAAATTCTGAAAATGCAGTGACCACTTCAAATTACTAAATTGGTCATGGTGCTTGGAGTAAGCCTGTAGAAGATTTTCAGTAAAAGGAAGGAAAATTGACAGATAGATAGATACATTTTATACATATTCATCAATACATATCTGCCTACCTCAAATCTTTATAGATTGGACGCTTGTTTGAGCAGGGCCTTCTACACTGTAAATATAAACTTTCTATAATTCAAAGTACGTAGGAATAGGACAATATTTATGTCAAATTTCTTAAACTAGATGGTGAAAATGTACAAGTGGGTGGCGAAGCTGCCAACTTGAAGGTGAAAGATGAGGCTAGTCACCAGAATGAGAAACACGACTTCAACAGCGAGGAGGTAACAGCCACTTTCCATGGAAAGGTTGAGGGTGGCTGGAAGAAAAATTGGAAGGAGGAATCAAGTGAGGAGAGAAAAGACTCATTCAAATCAAGAAAAAGTATGTAAAATCTTTTTACATTAGCTGAATATTTAAAATGTACTGTTTTATCCCTATTCCTGAACAATATTATTGAACTAGTGAATTTATTTGTATCAGTCATGATCTATTGCCTATTATATGCTGCCTACATGTTATAAGCTCCATGATTTTATTTTTTTCTAACGAGATCCTATTTTTATGTCAAATTTTTTAAAACAGATTTCCATGGTGTAAATGTACAGTTGAGTGGCGAAGCTGCCAGCGTGGAGTTAAACGGTAAATTCGGCCATAAAAATAAGAAACACGAGGAAAGTGGCAGTAACAGCAAGGAGGAAACGGACAAGTTTAGTAGAAAGAAGGGTTGGAAGAAAACATCTGAGAGTGATGAGATTAATTCAAGTGAAAATACAGAAGACTCATTCAACAAAGAAAAACGTTAGTAAAATTATTCTTTAATTATTTAGTAGGGTTTTGCTTAATTTCTCTCCTTCAGAATATATGTTTTAAATAGTTTTACACACAATCTGCTAAGACAATGAAAAAGATATTTGACAAAGAATTAATATTTTTTAAGTTACATAAATGTTATTATTAACTTGATTAAAAATAGGACGCGGGGGTGGTAAACAGAAATTTGCATCTTCAAGCGAGCAGAGTACAATCACCATTAAAGGTAAAGGAAAGGGCGGATGGAAGAAGTTCTCTGAAAGTGAAAGCTCCATTGAAGAGGAAAAAGGCTCTTTCAAAAAACATAAAGGTTAACAATTTACTTTTTAACTTGATAGAATTCTTGCATGTGTATGTATTAAAAGATTTTAAACTACATTGAATGTTATAACTTTAAGCAAAGTATACATATATAAGCAAAGTATATATATATATATATAAGTTCTATCAAGCTGTTTTAATTTAGGACAATTATAGAGGGAATCACTTTAAAAGGTATATTGTTTCCCTATTGTTACATTTGTTGTTTTTTCAAACAGAAAATATAACTATGATGCCTACATTGGTACATAGGAAAATGTAACTTTTTTTTATCAACATTGCTCACCACCGGACTTCATCACTCTTCCGATTTAGTTATAAAGCAAAGAAGAGCCGTTAAAGAATTGGAAGGGTGGGAGCATGTTTAATCGACTCCTAATATTCAAGTCAGTTGCATTTAGTTGGAAGAGCAGTACTAGGAGCTGGACTGCATGCTTCGATCACTAATTAGGGAGGGAGCATTAGTGACATAGATATAGATAAGATTCACAAAAACAGAAAACAATACACATTTTCATGGGCTGCTTTCTAGCACCATAAACACTGTAATAGTCTTTCACAATTATGGTACTTGGTGTGTCTTTCTACATATTTTTAGATAGTAAGCACTTAAGTATAATATTTTAGAAATTTTGTTTTACATGGTTAATAACATTAAAACCTTGCAACAATAATATAATAATATAAATAAGCATGCAGCTTGATGGAAGGAGGCTTATTTTTTTTTTTGCTGTTTTGCTTTTAATCTATGAAGGCACTCACGTAAAAGGAACGTTTGAAGAAAAGACCCAACATGGTCATGCCTATGGGCACAATAATAAGGGGAAGACTAACAAGTGGGGATTCAAAGATGGAGAAAATGAGAGTCATGATGATTCATCTGAAGAGAAAAGTATGTTTTTCAGCCATTCAAGTTCTCTTACGTCTGTTTTTATGATGTATAGATGAACATACAAATCAAATTATCCTTAAGTAGTTTTTAACAATGGGCCTGCTGTCCTGACAAGTTGATGGTAGATTAGACGTGCACTTTTTACTCTTTTTTCATATTGTTTATATCGAACTGAGATATCTTTATACAGTGAGCAAATGTGGGTCATATGGTGAAGAGTAGACTTGAATGGATAGAAATACCGTCTAAAATATTTTGTTGTCAGACACATGTGCTACAGTAACAATAGAGAAACATCTGAAGACTCCTTTCATATTGTCCTCTTTGTCCAATTTATCTCTCATTAAAAGCCCAGTTAACTAAACACCATGTACAGTTAAATACAGCAACATGAGATTAATTAAGAGCATTTTTGAAGAAGTAGATAAGATAAATAGGACTATTCACAAGAAAATGCATTCCCAACCCTAGCGTTATTAAATGAAGTATAAAATTAAACAAATTCCATTTATATTATGTAACAATTTGTATAAAGGTCATAAAAAATTGTTAATTTCTGCTTTTAGTTAAAAAAAAAAAAATGATATTGTACTTGGTTTTTAGCTATAGAAGATACTGACCTGGAAATTGAAGAAACTGGTACAGTTGCTACTCCAACCGAGATTCCTGTAACCGTGTACGAACCTCCTGTCATCACTGAACATGTTCCCTTACTATATACTGAAAATGAAGTCAAACGTGAGTAAACTAACACAACCATTTCTTTTTTTATTTCAACCTTTCTTGAATTGAAGGGAAAGTCCAATATGCATTATACCATGTTTATATTAGTTACAAAGAAAATGCACTAAAAAGCTTAAAATTATTTTAAATAAATAAAAAATAAAAAATTACAGTTACAGCAAATCCATTGACTTATACACTTGCAAAGACAGTGTGCTTGGGTTATTCCTCTTTTAATGATGCTTAAACTTTTTTTTATATTGTCATATGCCATTACACCAGAATTTGACTTGGTGAACTATATTTTCATATTTTTTTCAGCAATCGTTACAGAGCCAGAAATTCTTCCTATCACCAGAGGCCCACCGATAGACTGTATATTTAATAAAAACTCAGTGGCTGATGGAGAATCCTTGGTACTTAATTGTGTTACTTGGTATGTATACATTGTATTGATTTGCTGTTTTTAATTTGCCAGGTTATAAAAAAAAAAAACCTTAAGGCTCAAAATTGATGCAGCCATCAACTTTTTCAGCGTTCAACTTTGACACGCTATTAAAAGAGACAAGGTTACATCTCAATAAACAAAATGGTTGAGTAAAACTCTATTTACTTTAATTGGTTACGTGCCAGATGTTTGCATTGTTCAACTTGCTGAAAACTATTTTGGTAAACCAGGGCAGCCTGAATTTGTCATATGTGGGTTAGAAAATGTGGTTATGGTGGCTGAGGCTGAATCGTTTGGCCTCTATTTAAAATGATTGATTATTGATTATTTTAATGTCTTTTCTATTCTTCTTCTGTATTTCAGCACTTGCATCAGTGGATCACTTACATGTGTTAAAAACCTTGACTGCCCAGGTAAGAGTTCTTCCTCCTCTACCTTTACTGAACCAAAAATTACAGCTATATAACAGACAGTTACCAATGGTGAAAGTAAATGAACTAATTCATAAATCCTAATCCTAGAAAAATCCTAATCCTTAAAAAATCCTAATCCTAAATACTTTAAACAAACTAAATATAATGCCTGTTACGTTCACTTGTCTTTTGACAGCAAACTCGTCCACAAGTCTCATCTTTTTTATATATGTCTTTTATATAAGGAATATGTTCAATTACTGGATATCAGATGGTTCGCACATTTGATGGCACCTTGTATGAAAATCCTGGAACTTGCAGCTATGTTTTGGTAAAAACACCCAGTTTCTCTATCACCCTGAACAACAAGCCCTGCGTTGAATTTAGACATGGTATACAGGTAGGCAATTTCTTGAAGCATTTAAAAGACAATGTAACAGACTAATAAAAGGGAATATTTGACATTCTTTTTGTCTTGGTTTTTAGGATCCACAGGCTGTTTGTATTGAATCGGTGGACATCTATATACCTCTTATAGCCAGCTTAAGCCTCTCATATGATGGCACAATAACCTCTGCAGGAAAACAGTCTGCTATTCCATATTTTATTCATGGTAAAAAAAACTTCTTGATACTATAACTCAAATTGTTGAAATGCCCAGTGGCATTTGTGCATGTCCTACTTTCTCTCTTTTAGTTTGGATTAACACATATGTGGATTAACACATAATAAATTGATGCATTTTGATTGGATGAAACCTCAAAGTATCAAATGAAAATATTTATACAAATGAAATCCCGGTCAGCGGCGTAAGGAAATGCACAAATGACAATTCACTAATTGAAGCCCTCATTCTACTATAAAATGCATACTTACTTTCTGAAGTTATAAAAGTAAAATTAGACAAATCCACATATTTTAATCTATACTTTTTGAATTATAAAATGGAATAGTTTAATGTCATGTAATCTTGAGTTTCTTTTTGTATTTTCTCCCAGATACCATCACCATTCTCAGAAGTTCATCTGTCTTCCTGGATGTGGCTAGTGACTTCTTTAACCTGCAATATGACTTCAAGGGGAACCGGCTTTACGTGATCCTTCAGAACAGCTACAAGGACCAAACCAGTGGTTTGTGCGGAACCTACAATGACAACCGTAATGATGACTACAGGTAAATATTATTATTTTTGTTTGTGGCAGCTTAGCTGGTATTCCCTTGATACATATATGGCCTTATTTATAATCTCTAAATGCACTTAAAAAGCAAATTGACGGTATGTTTTAATATCGAAATTGTTCCTAACTGATGATATAGCTGAAGACATGTAACTTGATTTGTATATAAATACATAGAGCCCGCCCTGGACTAATTTATAGCTCATTTTTGTTTAGTTTAATATTAATACAGCTCTGACCCTTGTCTTATTTAATGCAATTAACAAGTGTGCTCAGTAAACCTACTAGTGCTTGCTCTTTTTGACTGATGAACCTGACGATTTTACCATTTTATTTTGAATTGCAGGAGCTCACTTGATATTACAGAGACAGTTTCTGGTTTATTCGCTGTATCTTGGAAAACCCCAGGCCAGTGCGCAGACAAACCCAAAGAAGCAGAAAATGAAGGTAAGGAAAATTGAATTTTCAAGAGAAACTACACAATAAAATGAAACAAGTTTACTTTGAGCACTGGCTTCAAACAAATCTATTTTGATAGTTTAATTGTCTTTTCTATTTTATTTTGATGAAAATAAAGATTGACAACTACTTCCTTGTTCGCTGATGATTACAAGTGTTTTGGGGCATCAAGGGTTGCCTATCCATGTCTCTAGAAATCAGCACTGATTTTTAAATAAAAACAAAAAATGTATAATTATGTTAGGACATACAATTTTTCACTTGATTGCTGGGTAGTTCTTATGACTAATCAAAACTTTGTTTTTTCAGATAAACGCGTGACTGCTGAATTAACATGCACTAGTACTTTCCAAGACTCCATCTTTGAAGATTGTCGTCTTCTGATTGACACTCATGGCTACCAAGCTTCTTGTGCCAACAGTATCTACTATGGCAACTCAGAAGGATTTTGCTCTGCTGTTGCAGACTATGCCTATCGCTGTGCCAGGGCAGGAATCTTCATTCCTGTGAGCTCTACATTCACTTTCTGCAGTAAGTATTAGTTGATGCGTCCAGTAATCTCTGTGTTCCTGATTCACAAAAAGCAAATAATTAAATTTTGATAGTAAGAATTTAATCTGCATTTATTGGGCAAATAAAATAACTTTTGCATTTAAAAAAAAAAAAAGAAATAGAGATTCCAAAATCCTGACTAATGAAAGCTGCTGGCGTTGGAGATACAGTTCCAGCAGCAACGGGAAATATTTCAGTATATGCATTATTTCTTATGAACCCACTACATACAGTGTCCTTGTACCATGACCACTCCAAAACACAGATTTGGTCACAGTGCTTGGAGTAAACCTTTAAATACATGAACCATGTTCAGCACATATTTGAAATATAGATTCAAATAATAAAATATGAGATGCCATATGTCATATCAGTGGTCTAAAATATGTACCAAAACATTTTGAATAGAACAAAGAAGTCTCTCAGTATTACTTGATTATAATACCATTTTTATTTTGTGATTTCAGCCCCTACATGTCAAGAAGATATGATTCTTAGTTCAGACAACCTTTTCACCCAACAAGACTGTGCTGAATATTCGGCTACTCTATTGAAGATTTCATCCAGCATTCCTCTGAACGAAGCCTGCATCTGTCCTCGTGATTTGTATTACGATGCAACTTTAGATCGATGTGTCAGTGGGTATGTTGAGCGTAGGCTTCATGCCTTAGTTACCAAATGTTGGTTTATGATAATGTCATTGAAAGATATTAGGAGACTGGGAAGTCTTTAGAGGGACATAATCATTAGTAATTATATGTTCATATGTGGGAGAAGATATGGTACTGGAGAAGATACTAAACAATTATGTTGGATATTTTGTTTAAACAAAAAGTGAATGTGTATGAACTATACAAAAGGAAGAGAAACTACAAAATATTCAATAATTTATTCAAGTTTTTAGACTAGATGGTATCTGTGATATTGATAAGTTAATTAAAGCACCAGGTTTGCCTGCTTAAACATTAGAATCCCACTTTATGTAATAAAAAAAATAGCAGAGGCTTCATTCAATTTCTCTTTTCATTTTTCTATCTCTGCGTGAATGATTTATGAATCTTGTGTATGTGTTTTTTTTTCAATATTGTAATAAGTAATATACATAAATATATGATGTATTATTTTCTTTACTTTACAGTGAGCAATGTCCCTGCTACGTCAACAATGATGTGTACAAACTAGGTCAGACTATCACATTCCCCAATGGAGAATCATGGTAAGATATACAGATTAATTGGAAAATAGTAACTAATTGTAAAACACATACTTTCCCACCAGAAAAAAAATGTGAGTTTCTGTCGGTCCCTGGCCAATACAGTACATTAAAAATAGATAAATGAATAACATGACAAATAGGCAGTCATTGCATTAGTTTATCTCTTTATATGTGGTCCACCTTGTTCTGCAGTATACACGATGGGTAATTTAACGCTGTGTTCCGTTCACATCATTGTCAAGTTTTATTTTAGTAGTCCGTCTAGAGATGAATTAAACCCTACATTTTAAATAAGGCCTCTGTATCAACAAAATGGTTAAGCTGGGCATCTGTAGTGTGGTCAAGGACAATATAGCTAATCTTTATCCTGGATGTGTTTCCTTATAGCCCCTGTGAAAGAATACTACAGTGCAGCGGAACCGATAAACCTGACAATGGTGGTAAGAAACTACATACCTGCTATACCTTACATACATTTCTCCTTGTTTTATGATAGAAAATTACATGTTCTTTAAAAGTCAAGTGTCCAAAAAGAAGTGAATCTCACTTTTGAGTGGAGTGTACTTTCAAATTGACATAGTCCTGTAGTTTGGCCAGTACTGTAACATCTTTAGAAGTCAACTGCTTTTTCGCAGGACACCTACACATTAATGTTCTTGCTACTTTATCACTGGAGATAGCGCAACAACAAAATATTCAGGATGGTGTAAGCATGGTTTACAACCATCATAGACACATTCAACAATGACTACTGGTCAATGTTGGGCTCTTAATATAGGCATTCGAATTCATTTAGTTATGGTTTTATAACCATAATCCGTTGAGACTCAACACTTGTTTCTTTTCTAGGAGTGATTAAAGAATGCCCAGAAAATGAAATATTCTCTGATTGCTCCCTGGGATACGGGACATCTTGTGAACCCAGCTGTGAATTCCTGGCTGTACTTGACCAGGGCTGCGGTGCAGAATGCACACCAGGCTGTATCTGCAAACATGGGTAAGCAGAACATATACATATTAGTTTTGTTTAGGTACCTGGTAAAATAACCTGCTTTTTGCTAAATGTTTCATTGTATTGATTCTAGTCTATTGAGAGGTAGCGATGGAAACTGCATCCCACTGAACGAATGTCCATGTATTCACGGAGACGATGTATACAACCCTGGAGAAACACTGGCCAGTGACTGCAATACTTGGTAAGTACCCCTGATGAAAACATGGATGTAAAAAATGCATGTAGTCATGTTGAATAAATATCGCTAAAGATCAGAGGTGTGCACAGCATATTACTGTAGGATGTGCAAGAGAAAATTATCATCCAAACTTTATTTTAAAAATAATAATAAAAAAAAGGCAAAGCAATGTACAAAAATCGTTATTTTTTTAAAAGTGATTACACAGATACTGAGATATACAGAATGGTTTCCTTAAAACTTAAAGTGAACTCAAACTCTATGCACTAGGTTGTGTCTGGGAATAACTGGAAAATCCTGTACGCATGCCTATGCTGAAGAACAGATTAGATCTATTGTTTTCTAAAACTCAAGTGTATAGGTGCTCTTAGAGAGCTGTTTACTCAATAAATGCACTATGACCGAAGCACAACTAGTTCTTAAGTTTATGGGACCAGAAAGATGGCTGGTGCTCAATTCAGCTAACTAGAGACTTATTTTACATGAACAAAAGAAACCCTTCACTTATAAACACAGTGAAATAATAGGTTCATCAAGCTGAGAGCCAATATTTTAGCTAGCCACGTTTGAATTATCGGAAAAATTGCAGAATTGGAAGTGCTTCAGACTAGGTTTTTTGCCTTCTTTTGGATCAACAGCAAAAACATATGTGAGGAAGGCTGAACTTGATGGACGCAAGTCTCTTTTCAGCTATGTAACAATGTAACATAATATATTCCTATTTTTTTTACCATTATACTGTTTATTGTTATCTATCTTAGCACGTGTGAAAATGGCAAATTCTCCTGTACCACCAATCCTTGCAATAAAGTGTGTAATGCATATGCTGGATCCCAGTTCTTCCTCTTTGACAATATCTGGAAGACATATACCACAAGGGATTGCCCAGTTGTCCTAGTGCAGGTATGTTGCAATGGAGTAATATTTAATTATGAGAATTATTACATCATCGTTCCTTTCGCAAGCTCCTCTGTGTGTTCCCAAATTATGATCTGTTATTCCAAGCTTAAACAATAGAATATAAAGTAATGGGGGTGCTGATACATTTTCCTGTCTGTAGCCTATTAATTCTATGAAGAGATCACAGTCAGCAACACAATTTGTGACCATCTTTGTCAAACACACCCTTGTTTTAACAGTGTAAGATGTTCTTCTACTGATGATGGCATATATTGTATGTTAATTGAGTATAAATACAGAATGTAAAAATATATATAAAATAAATACCAATTACATTAATTTAATTTGAGGAATTTTGTAGGTTGAGAAGATACTGTGAAATATATTATTTTACATGAATACTTTGTTTTTATTTTCCATAGTCTCGAGAGGATGCTGTTCCGAACTTCCGTGTTATCATGCAAAATGTCCGGTCTGAATCTGTTGGAGGAGCTTTGGCCAGAAAATATATTACCATTGCATTTGAAGGCATTAGTGTAGCGCTGACCGAGGGAGAGCCTAGTGTGGTAAGACATTTCCTAATTATTTGCTGGGCTTAATCTCATTCAGTGGGCTGCCTGTTTTAATTTCAGATTATCTATTTTTCCATTGTTTTTACACATTGAGATAAACACTTGAATGAGAGCAGATTGCAACTATATTATACTGTTACCTAAAATAAACGTTATTATTTTGGAGTTATGGGAAACTATAACTGAGAAAGGGCTAAGATGTCCGCCTCCAAATGCTAAATAAAAACCTGTAGAACTCTTTAGGAAATATGACTTGCTTAGAATACAAACCACATATGTCTTAATAATACAGAGCTGTAGCTTTGCAAATAACCTTTATGCAATAAAGCTTATTTACACAAGGGTGGATTTTCTGCCATAATTAACTGGCTGCTTTCCTAATAATCCTGACGAAGAGCTCAAACTCAAGTCAAGAGTATAGTTGGCATCTTCATAGCACAAGAAGTAATATTGTGGTTACGGAAGATGGCTATTGTAGCTCAGAGTCACATGTTCAATTCCCACCAGGATCAACTATTTTTTCCATCCTTCTGTGGTGGATAAAATGAGGAACATTAAGTTAAAATGAGGAACATGAAGAGCTCAGGGAGTACTTGAAAAAAAAATAGCAACTAAGCTAAATGTATCTATCCTTGTTAAAAAGCATTTGCTATTAACTTTTCTTCTTAATATTTATTTAGATTCCTATGTAACAGAAACTATCAAATATGTCTAGTTAACAAATAGCGGTTGTTCAAATAGTGTTTTGTTTTTACAGGTATATGAACCTAACAGCAAAGCTCAAGTTAAGATCTACCGTTCTGGATTCTACGTAGTAGCCCATTTCACAGAAGGTCTTACTGTCTACTATGATCAACATCTGGATGTCATTGTTCAACTTGAGCCAAGCCTACAGGTAAGATATCAATACTGTGGCTTTCCTTTTAAAAATGGCCTTTTTAATAGTAGATACTTCATTATGCCTCCCTGGCTTAAATACTGCCAAACTGAAAATACTGATACAATGAGTTAGAAAGTTATAACATTCTAATATATATTTAGCCATGTAAATATACATGAAGTCCACCAAGTATCAAAAGTTATAATCACCATCTAAATGTCCCTCTTCTCCAGGGCAAGGTTCTGGGCATGTGCGGTGATGCTGATGGATCAACAACTACTGAACTGGCCATAAGTAACATGGAGCAATATGCATCACAATATCTTTTGGGAGAGGTAGGAAATCAATTAACCATCTTACAGAATAACAATACTTGATTGATTGAATTTCTGACAGTGCAAATGTAATATGTATATGATTTTTTTTCACAGTGCGCAGAACCAGAGGTACCACCCTTCGTTCCAAGTGACAACCATAGGAGTTACGTTGAGAAACGTTGCAGTGTGCTTAAGAGCTCAGAATTTGCACTGTGCCATACTGAGGTAAGACTTAATTCTGAGATACCGGTTTAAGCTACCACTTAAAATAAAAATGGAATTATATTTCAAAAAACTCAACCAGTAGGTTTTTTTTAAAGAACTTTTTTATAATTTCTACTAAATACATTAAAGGTCTTCTTGCTCATATTTCCATAATTTAAGATAATTATAAAGGGATACTTAGTTTCACTTAAGTACAATAAGTTCCCATTTGTGACTTAAGTTCACTTCATTTGCTCTAGACCAGTGGTTCCCAAATCTGTCTTCCTGACCCACCAACACTCCAGGTTTTTTGACAGTATTTCCATTGGAGCAAACAAGGGGAATACATAAATCCTGGATTGTTGGTGGGCCAAAGCAGACAGGCATCTAGCATTGAAGCTCACTAAGTTTTCATATTTCCCCTTAAAGGTTAATGTCCAACCTTATTACGCAGCCTGCGTAGAAGAGACAGAGAGCTGCAGAGAAGGGGAAAGCTGCCTCTGCTTCTGCACATCACTTGCTGCTTATGCCCGTGCCTGTTGTCGTAAGGGCTTCACCATTGACTGGAGAAATCCTGACACATGCCGTTAGTATATCCTCTTAAATATTTAGAACTTTGGATTTTGTATACTCTTAATTGCCCACTTAACCTGTTGTCTTATATCTCTTGCAGCATCTCCCTGCGAATATTACAACCGAGGTACGTAAAATCTGCATGGAGAATAAAGTACTACACCACGTACTAACATTTCCATATCCAACACATGTTTTTATTTTTTTATAATGGTCAAAGTAAAAAATGTGACCTTCAAAAAGAAACCAAAAATCTATTTGCTTATTTTCCAGGAATTTGTTACAGAAATCGTGACAATTCTTTAATTAAAACACATTTTGAATTATTTAAAAATATAATATTTTTTAAGCTTGACAAGATAATGTCAATATAACTGTCTAGAATATTTTAGCATTAGTTTATTTTAATTCAAAGTGTTTAGGTGGATCTGAACACATGTAACATTATACATAGATGTGAAGACAATTCAGATGAATAAAAGCACAGCTTTTCTGATTACATATTATAATACATATGCATTCAAATAATTCTCCAATGTATGTATTCATTTATAGAACAACCTGTCCTGTTTATTTTTTAGCTGCTGGAGAAGGACCTTATCGTTTGATCATGTTGAATGGCAACACACTGGTGACAGATTTTGTTAGCAAGAAAGTATATGTGATCGAGGATGATTTGCCAAATAACTTAGCAGCAACCTTCATGGTCACGCCAAGCCTCTATATTGACTCACTGAGTAAGTTGTTACATTGTGTCTCTTTCCTATATGTAAGGTATAGTAGAAGAGGCATGGTTTGCACTTGATCCAACTTGGCCATGCCGAGAAATTAGACCAATAATACTAAACTATTTTTAAACTTTTGCATTAGTGAAAAAGAAGCCTAGCTTATTGCTAAATTAGTTGTTATAATTCAAGTTTATAAAATTGAAAGGAGAACATTTTACTGAAATTCTAAGAAGTAGCACAAAAGCATAAAAGAACAAATTCTGCCTAGTTCTTTGGACAATAAGGATATTTTGCAGAATGTCAATTGATAAATTTGATTTTGTTTTCAGATGGCAGAACGTTAGTATCACTAGAATCCGCAGAACATCCAAATTTCTTCATCGTTCAAAATAGCGATGGTAGCCTCAATCTTCAGAAATGGCAACCAAGCGTCAGCTTCCGTTCTCAGGCCACATTCATCATGAGAGCAGGTCGCTGGGTCAGAGGCTACAATGCCTTGGAGTCCTTCACATCCCGTGGGCACTATCTTTCCATCAAAAATGATAACTCATTAATTATGTCCAAGGTGAAGTCTGGAAACATGCTGGTGATGAATTTCAAACTGAGAGGTAATTGTACAAACAATTTAATTATTTTAAAATATGGAAAGGAGAAACAATATTAGATTTAATGGTGCCTTAGTATGGTGCAAAAAAAAGGATTGCATAGATTCTATAAAAAGTTTCCTAAAGTTTTCAATATAAAAATCAGTTAAACTATTGTATATTTCAATTAGCATATGAAGTTAAATTACTGTATAATATGCCAGTGTCACATAATATAATTTGATTATTTTATGGTCTGAGTATGATAAAAATTCATTAAAACACAAAAAGTGAAGAAAAATAGAATATATGGAACCTGATCTCCATGCTAATTTAAAGCATTAATATATGTGTAAGCTTGCTTTAAACAAAGAGTTACCCAAAAGGTTTACTGTGTTTTAACGTTTTTTATATTTTTTTTTTTACAGAGGAAAATTTTGGTTTACCCTCTTTCTCCATCTGTACTTGGAAGTACAGAGCTTGCAGTAACCCTTGCATTCCAACATGCTCAGATCCTCTTGGAACCAAGTGCACCCTGACACTCAAGTAAGTGACAACAGCATTTCTGAGGAATATCAGTATGTTTTTAATCAATATATGTAGATTTAGAATCTGTTTGTAATGATGCTTTTCTGATAAAACAGACAAAGCTGTAGCTGTCAAGTGAAAAGTATATAAGTGAGATTATGATTCTATGCATAGAACAATATGGAATGGTAATCAGTTATTAGAATTTTTAAAGAAATCAATAGACTTCTCCAATAGGATATGTACTTAGATCTTCTACATGTTGAGCTATTTGCTTGACTAATGAATTAGAAGCATGGCTTATACAAATGTGTCCATTAAAACAATATGTCTAATTTCTGTCTTAGAGTTGAAGGCTGTTATCCAATCTGTGCCCCTGGCATGGTTTTCGATGAGATTACCCATCGTTGTGTGCGATTTGAAGACTGTAAGTTGACTTTTGTTTCCATACTGATAGCTGACCTATAACCCAACATAGGCAATGCAAAAATCAATTAACGAATCAATCACTCAATAATGTTATCTGTCTTATTTCAGGTATTAGCTTTGGTGTGTCCACTACAGCTCCACCTACAACTCCACCGGTAAGAATCTACTGGGAATGATTTTTTAAATTGTTTTCAAATATTTACCTGGCTTTCCTAAAAGTTATACAGATATACTATTTTATTCTCTCAACAATAAAGGCAATCACAGAATTCTTAACCATTGTTGTGTATTTTATTAATGTGTGTATTATATTTAAACATTACAGGAACCATGTAAGAATGTGCAGTGCATAGTGGAGACATGTGAACAAGGGGAGACCCAAGTAAAAGTTGACTCCACAGATCCTTGTTGTCCAAAGTACATTTGTGGTAAGTGTGAGAGAATCTTTCCATAAGATAAACAATAAATAAATTAATCACTTATGTCTATAAAACAGGAAAACAATATGTTTTATATTTAATTAATATGATTCATTCTAGACTCTGTGAAATTGTTCCATAAACCAGTGAAGATGCACACTTTAAAATGTGTTATTTATCTAACCCACTTAAAACACATACTCATCGAAATGGCCTGACAATGATGTCAAATTATTTAATCTCTGTCATTTTATTAATTAGATTGCTTCAGACAGAGCAGGATAACCATGGGTGACTTTAGGCACCTGCCTCGGGCACATGGGCTAGACAGGGGTATCTAGAGCTAAATTCTAGGCTCCATTCACCATCTATACATGAAGAAGAAAGGGGGGCTTTGAACAGTAACATGCCTGGGGTTTCAGATATACATGTAATGTGTTTTCCATGGTTCTGAAGCATTCTGAAGAAATACAAATAAATGCATTTATCACTTCTAATTTTTATATGTTTTTTTTAATGAATTTATTTATTTTTACAGTTCCAGAACAGACAACCACACCATCAACTTCAACACTGGTAAGGCTGTTATATTGTTACGTTATAAGACGGAATAAAAAGTATTTTTTATCCTTTCCTACATTATTTCTATCTAATAATCCTATTTTTTCTTGGTTTCACCATTACCACGTATCCTATTAATGTATGTATTGTATGTAAACATTACAGGAACCATGTAAGAATGTGCATTGCATAGTGGAGACATGTGAACAAGGGGAGACACAAGTAAAAGTTGACTCAACAGATCCTTGTTGTCCAACGTACATTTGTGGTAAGTGTGAGAGAATGTCTCCATATTAAGATAAACAATAAATAAATGAATCAATGAATTGATATATCTATCATACAGGAAAACAAGGTGTTTCATATTTAATGCATAATGATATTTTAGACTCTGTGAAGTTGTTCCATTAACCAGCGAACATGTACTCTTTAAAATGTGTTTTTTTAGCTACTCCACATAATCATCAAAATAGCCTGAAAATTAATTTAAACAATTTAAGCTCTGTAATATTATTAATTAGATTGATTCAGGCAGAGCAGGATTATCATGGGTGACCATAGACACTCGCCTAGGACACATGGGTTAGACAGGAACTAAACATGAACAAGGATGGCGGGCCTTAAGCAGTAGCCTACCTATGGAACTAAGCAGTAGCCTGTCTGAGGTTTTAGATCTACATGTAATGTGTTTTCCATGGTTTTGAAGGATTCTGAAGACATTACAATAAATGCATTTATCATTTAAACTTTTTATCTATTTTTATTTATGTATTTATTTCATTTTACCGTTTCAGTACAGACAACTACACCATCAACTTCAACACTGGTAAGACTGTCATATTGTTACGTTATAAAACAGAAAAAAAAATATTTCAACCTTTCCTACTTTATTTCTATATTATCGTCCCATTTTTTCTTGGTTTAACCATTGCCACGTATTCTATTAATGTATATATTGTATGTAAACATTACAGGAACCATGTAAGAATGTGCAGTGCATAGTGGAGACATGTGAACAAGGGGAGAACAAAGTAAGAATTGACTCCACAGATCCTTGTTGTCCAACGTACATTTGTGGTAAGTGTGAGAGAATGTCTCCATATTAAGATAAACAATATATAAACAATTCACTTTGATACATCTGTCATACAGGAAAACAAGATGTTTTATATTTAATGCATAATTACATTTTAAATCAGGTCTGACCAAAAGGTAGATCACAGATGTTTTAGAACTACAGTTTCCATGATGCATTGTTATTCTAAAGCATTCTAAAGGCATGCAAATCGTCATGGGGTTGTAGTTCTACAACATCTGGGGATCTACCTTTTGGGCACCCCTGTTTTAGAGTCTGTAAAATAATTCTATTAACCAGTGAACATGCACACTTTAAAATGTGTTATTTATCTAGCCAACGTAAAACATGCAATCATCAAAATGACCTGAAATTTATTTAAAATCATTTAACCTCTGCCATGCGTGGCCTTAGGCACCCGCCTATGACATGTGGGTTAGACAGGGTCCTTGGAACTATGTGCTTTGCCTCATTCGCCGTCCATACACAAACAAGAAAGGGAGACCTTAAGCAGTAACATGCATTGGGCACTAAACAGTAGCCTGTCTTGGGCTTCAGATATACATGTAATGTCTATTCCATGGTTCTGAAGAAAGATATCACAATAAATACATTTATCGTTTCTAATTTTTATATGTGTTTAATAATTTTTTTTGTTTTTACAGTTCCCGTACTGACAACTACACCATCAACTACAACACTGGTAAGACTGTCATATTGTTACGTTATAATATGGAAAAAAAATATTTCAACCTTTCTTCATCTTTTATATCTAATCATCCTCTTTTATCTTGCTTTATATAAATATGTGCTCTTGATTTTAGGACGTGTGTAGGAATGTGCACTGCACAGCGGTGACATGTAATGAAGGAGAGAGTTTGGTGAAACTGGATTCAGCAGATCCTTGCTGTGCACTTGAAGTGTGTGTTGGTAAGTTCTTAGATGATGAAGACAGTGTATGCAAGACTTAGAACTGTATTGGTCGTAATAGATGATAGACAGATTATTTCCTGTTAATGAAAGGTGGGGTTGGGATAAGCTCCTTTCTCTTGTTTAGTTCTTCCATTTGGAAATTGCTTTCTAAAGAATAGCTAAAGGAATAAACATAGTTCATTATTAAAAAATTGCAACCTTACTTTTGGTGTTATCTGAAACTTGCAATGTCATGTGCTTAAAGGACCACTCTAGGCACCCAGACCACTTCAGCTTAATGAAGTGGTTTGGGTGCCAGGTCCTTCTAGGGTAAACCCATTTTTTCGTAAACATAGCAGTTTCGGAGAAACTGCTATGTTTATGAATGGGTTAAGCCTTCCCCCTAATCCTCTAGTGGCTGTCTCATTGACAGCCACTAGAGGCGCTTGCGTGCTTCTCACTGTGATTTTCACAGTGAGAGCACACCAGCATCTATAGGAAAGCAGTGAGAATGCTTTCCTATGTGACCGGATGAATGCGCGCGCAGCTCTTGCCGCGCGTGCGCATTCAGCCGACGGGGAGGAGAGGAGGCGGATCGGAGGAGGTGAGCTCCCCGCCCAGTGCTGGAAAAAGGTACGCTTTAACCCCTTTTCCCCTTTCCAGAGCCGGGCGGGAGGGGGTCCCTGAGGGTGGGGGCACCCTCAGGGCACTATAGTGCCAGGAAAATAGTATGTTTTCCTGGCACTATAGTGGTCCTTTAATGATTTAATGATTGCAATGTTATGTGCTTAATGATTTAATGATTCAACGTTAACACAATCTATTTTATGCTATTTATAGGAACCACCACAACCACTGTACCCACCACAACAGAAGTGAGTATATGCAAAAAAATCGCACTAATTTCTCACAGGTCATTGTTTATAATGTGTATTTAAACAATTCAGGCAGATACGTAGGTGGGTTAGATAAGGGTTTTTCAATTTATTCAATGTCATATAACACCACACTACCAATCAACATAACATAATTGGTGTAGTTTATTGCAGTTCATATTCATCAACTAATACTGTTAAAGGAAATTAAAAGCATGGCGTGCATGTGTCAACTCAGAAACTGTTGACATATTAATTGTGTTTATGTAATGTGTATATACTTTACAGGACAAATGCAAATATGTCGTGTGTGATGTAACAGTATGTTACAAGAGTGGTTCATATATGGTGCAACTCCCTTGGTCAGATCCGTGCTGTCCACGTCATGAGTGCGGTAAGTTCTAAGAACTTAACCCCTTAAGGACACGTGATGTGTGTGACATGTCATGATTCCCTTTTTTTCCAGAAGTTTGGTCCTTAAGGGGTTAATGGAGTATGTCAGTAGGAGATATTGATGTTTAGAATTCTTGTCTAAATCCAAGCATTTACATGTAGCCTCATTCACCCAATATGTAGTATTTAAGATACCTTGTATTTCAAAATATATAAGACTTAGTCCAGTTACTTAATAACCAGCATTTGTTTCTGCGTTTTTTTATGAAGATAATGTCTAGCTATACGGGATCTGAGTAATATGTGTAATTTCTACATATTAACTATATTGATGGGTTTTAAAAGCTGATTTAGCAAAAGCTCACTAGTGAATGCAATTTTACATCAACAAAAGGCAAAGGCAGATTGTACCAGTTATGTTGATAATCATATTCCAAAGATATTTTATCTCTACTGTGTTAAGACTTGATTCTGTTTTTTGAATTCCAATTGCCCTAAAAATACGGTATTTAATTTTATACAAGGCAACTGATTTGGCAACTAATTTATTTATTTGTCTTTTTTTCCCATGTTGGCTATTGGTTTTAAAAAAAACAGCAAATTATTCTGGACCAAAAACTTCAATTTGGAATCTAGCAGTTTATCTAGCTTGTAAATGTAACTCAACATAACTTGAGCAATAATGGATTTTACAAAACAATTTTGAAAAAAATACAACACAGTATTAAACATATATATATATATATTTATTTTTTGTTTTGTTTAAAAAAAAAAAATTCTGTTTTTCTAGCATGCAAGATGTGTGAAAATCCTCCTATATGTGACAACGGAGAACCACCAATTGCACAATTTGATGAAAATACAATGTGTTGCCCAGTGTATTCTTGTGGTAAGTACCTACCTCATATAGGAAGACTATATTGAGTGTGTAGCACAAGGAAGGCAATGTACAGTATTAAACAATTAATGGGTGAAAGTCTGAAAACGGAGGAGGAACATTAAATTTGCTCTCCATGAATAAATGTTAATTATTTTCTGTACCATATAGGTTAGTCCAGCTGCCCACATCTTGGAACAATATTTTACCTAGAACAATATTTGAATTTAAAATCAATGTAGTTTGAACATATTCTAAGGATAATGGCAGATGGTCAAATTCTAAGCAGGTCCTATCATACAGAACATGTACTCATTCTACAAATTAAGGAGGGTGCAAATTATATTAATATCAATTTAATGTTGATAGCTGTGTTTTTGCATTAAATAAAATAGAAAAAATGTACATACCACAAGTAACATCAATCTTAAATAATTTGTTACTGAAACTCAAGATTCAAAAGATAGATAGACAATGTTTCATGCTATTAAATCAGTCTTATGCAATAAAAACACTAATCTAATACTGACATTTTTTGGTAACAGAACAGAAAAGAACTACGACAACTGTGTCTTCTAATACACCGGTATGTTTGTACTTTTTTGTTGTTTATCTTTATATTTATACTGAATTTTAAAATGTTGCTTTAATTCTATTTCCTCCCAATATAGATATACTCTGGGGAACATGTGCATATAATATAAATTATTTGAAAGTAATGATGACAATGAATTCGTTTAAAGAATAGAAGGAAGATAATGATCCACCTTAGACTTTTTAGCACTGATCAGCACTCAAAATTTTAAAAAATGGGGAACTTTATATAACCCTGTAGTTTATGTGGGAACAAACAAAACTGTAACATCTCATAATAGGGATGCTTTTAGAGGAACATTCCATAGAACTAAGCAATTTACTTTAATAACTGTTCAATGCCGAATATGTCACAAATAAAAGTACTTAGAGGGCTTGTTTGCTTTTCATGCTGTCTTTACAATATTCTTTATCAACAAGTTTGCCCTATTGCATATATAAAAAAAAATATTACTTGGGCTGTGTTAGATGGGATAGACAAGGGGTGCCCAAAAAGTAGATCTCCAGATGTTTTAAAACTACAGCTTCCATGATGCTTTGTCATTCTAAAGGTATGCAAAGGCACGCAAAGCATCATGGAAGTTGTAGTTCTACAACATGGTAGGTAGGTTTCATTCAGTTCAACTCTTCAACCTAGTGAGGTGGATAAGATTGATAGGGAATGATAGTATCTATTTATGTATTGTCACTTAGTTATGTCAGAGAGCATGAATTAAAGACATTGAATTCCGATATGGAGCAAACATATTATGCAGATGTTCCTGGACAGTGCTATATGATGGAACGTCTGAATGATGATACAATAATATCCTTTGTTTATTTACTATGCAGAACCCATGCACATATGTTGAGTGTCCCACTAAAACATGTAATTATGGCGAATATCTGGTGGCAATCAGTGGAACAGACCCATGCTGTCTCGACCATAAATGTAGTAAGTATGAATGGGATATTTATTTGCATTTTGAATTTTATATATGTATGTGTTGATAATCCTAGTTTAAAACTTTTAAAGTGTTTTATGTTTGTTTTACTAAACTGCCATAGACAAGTGCAATTATTTAATCAATACAGCCCTTACCCTTAGCCAGAATAGCATAGATGTCTATTTGAATATTAATTTTATTTTAGTTAAATATGTCCTTACCCTTATAAACATATCATGTATCATGTATTTATTATTTTTTATTTAATTTCATCACAACCTTGTCCAGACTTCGACAAAATAATATAATAATATCAATGTATTTTTTTTCTAGTACCTGAAGTCACCACTCCAGTAAGTTCACAGTTTTATCTATCTATCTATCTATCTATCTATCTATCTATCTATCTATCTATCTATCTGTCTGTCTGTCTGTCTGTCTATCTATCTGTCTATCTCTATCTCTATCTATCTCTATCTATCTGTTTGTCTGTGTGTCTATCTATCTATCTATCTATCTATCTATCTATCTTCTACCTATCCACCCATCCAGTTTGGACTTCTTATACTTTCTGTTACTTTAATGTTTTTTTAATTTATTTTACAGGAACCTCCCATCTCTACCATCACTACTCCTTCGGTATGTCATTTATAATCCTTTGTTGATAAGTCAAATCAAGTTTACCTTAGTTATAACAGAACAATAAAACATTTGCAAGGATTGGTACTCTAAGCATTATTTGAGATCAGAGAACCATGTGTGTTATAGGAGAATAGTCATATGTTTGGCCTAAAAAGGTATTGAGTCCCATGCAAGCAATACAGCTACAATTAGTCAGGACACTATTGTCAGTTTGTCGCAAATATTAATTTATATCAACTGACTTGCTTAAAGAGGCACTCACGGTAATATAACCACCACAGCTAACTAAAGTGTTTATGGTACGAGGAGTCATTGGTCCTTTGTGATAGCCATTTGGGAACCATCTCTTGGTTCTTTGCTGAACTTTTTGAGAACAGTTTTGTTTTCTTTTTCTTTTTGGGAACAAACTGGGGCTATCTCCAGCACTCGGAGACCACCTCCTCCTCAGCCATATTAATAATGTGTATTTAAAATTTCCTTGCTTTCAGTAACAATTTCATCCAACTTGGATGAAAGTGATAGGCCGAGAATGCTATTTCAAGCCAATCACTGCTATCTAGCTTGAAATAAATGAATATGAATAATGCAAAACTGTAAATGTCAAATTATCAATGTGGCTGAAAATGGGTGGTCTCTGTAGGCTAGTGATATCCCCTGTTTTATTGAAATAAAAAAATAGATTGACAAAGAACAAGGGGAAGTCTCTAGAATCTTGACTGTATACCCACCAAAAAAAGATATGTGGTTCAGATTGTCCATTTACATCCGTTTTAGATGACTTATCTGGTTTACATTACATTTCTTCTCTCTGTTAGCCTTGTGAAAATGTGCAGTGTCCAACCTCCAAATGCCATTTTGGAGATACTGTCTTGGTGAAAGTAGACTCAGAAAATCCATGCTGTGCATTGTATGAATGTGGTAAGTGCACACGTTACATCCAAAGTAACAATCTATAATATTCACAAATACATAATTTGTTTCATTGGAGCTATTGAAAATTATATTATCATGCAAAATGCAACACAATTGATGCTGACGTATGAATAATATGATTACTCTCTGTGTTAGAATTCAATAAAGGCTAGATTTAAGCACTTCACATGAAAACGATCACACAGTCAAAAACAAATTCATCAGTATTAAAGAAAACACAAAACAATGGAACGTCACCTTATATTATTTTCAATTGTTTCTTCTCTAAAATAGAATAGTCAACTGGACATATTCACAAAATGTTGAATACATCAGTTACAAGTTAAGAAGCATTTTTTTTTTGTGAGCAAAAGCCAAATAAATGTGAAAACATTTTTAAGAAATGCATCTCCTAACAAAAGTGAAATTGATCATAATAAAGTTTAAATAGGCAGTAGAAAAATAGATTGTATTCAGTATAGTGATCTTAATTTGTCGACTTGTGGATAAAATTCAAAAATGTTTAAAGACGATGTTTACTATGATCAAAAAAACAGTTAACAATGAGAATAATCACAGAACAACTAAAACAAAAAAAAACAAAAAAAACTCTAATTTAAATAAAAGTACCTTACATCTAAAAGTGAATTAAGGTTATGCATTCCATCCAAAATTATATTTTACCTGTTGAGCAAACTAGCAATTGACCAGCCGTGATGGCACATTGCTGTAGTCTCCAACTACTAGACAGACAGATGTTATTCATTATCACCAAAAAAACTTGAAAATGAAGCAATGCTTTGGTTTATTCATTTCTCTTCCTGTCCTATCTAGTTCCACCTACTACAACTCCAATGCCAATTACGACAACACAGGTAAGCATAGTTAATAGCAACATTTATCAAGGCACATTGTGCCATTAGATAATACATAAGTGTACAAATTGCACATGATTGTTGAACCCAAGTTACTTACTGTTGTTGCATTTGCAGAATATATGCCAGGATATTGTATGTCCAGTGCACGACTGTACTATGGAAGGATCCTCAAAAATTGAAATTCAAAGCAATGATCCCTGTTGTAAAGCATACGATTGTGGTAAGTTACTCTGTGATCATGGAAGGACAATATTGTAAAATTCAATAATATATTAGTAATCCCCTTTTTATTTTAAAAAAATGATTAGTTGAATTGATTCATTGCAATATTTACTAAGAAATATAATTGGAATTGTAACATTTTGTCATTTTGATTTTAATTGGATTCACTAAAATTCTGAGTTTGGGTAATAAGTCTGTAAATTGATTTTTTTTGTTTTTGTTTTCTAGTATGCAGCCCATGCAGCCCAGCTCCTTTCTGTAATGGAAACAAGCCCATCATGAAAATTGATCCCGAAACACAATGCTGCATACAATATGAATGTCGTAAGTACCCATCTAAAGTGTTGCACATCAAGCAGTAACACAAGACTTAGATAACTATATTTATGATTCTGTAATCTACAGGATTATTGGTTTCTCTGTACTTAATGAATATCCTCAAAACCCATATTGACTTGTGATATACCAATATGATCCATTAATGGAACACTATAGTGTTAGGATTACAAACATTTATTTGTCCAATTCGATGCTCCTCACAGGGGAGCACTGGGGATGAAAAGTATATGTGCGTTAGTGCTTCACCTATATTGGAGGTTGACTATGAGAACGAAGTTTGACTCGGTTCTCCCAGTATAAGCACCTCTAGTCACTGTCAGGTAGGCAACCTGCAATGTAAACATTACCATATCTACTAAACGGCAATGCTTTTACAATACAACGTTTAAACTAAATGACCATTCCACCCAGAGCACTTCATTGAGATTAAATGGTCTGTTTACCTTCTGTGATCCTTCAATCTACATGGATCCACAATTATTGGATATATTTCAAAATCTAAACTAAAGAAAAATGTACTTGTACTCTGTTCCAAATCCCTATGCACATTTAAATAACTGGAGGTTTTTTAGCTCTCCTGCCATGTCAAGTCAAAACCTCTTAGGTAAGTCTTACACTAACAATTCGCCTTGCCTCTTTAAGCTGAATGGTAAAATCTATAATGAGACAGAAAGGGGTATTATTCTATACCCCTACATACTTATTAACCCTTAATTGGGAAATCATTGAGTCAGCGGCAGCACTGTAACATGGCTGTGTAATACAAAAGCCTTTCAGCTTAAAGAAGGAAGACGAATTGTTAGTCTATGACTCAACCACAGGTTTTGTCTTGACGTGGCAGGTGGGCTTATCCTTAAATTGTCATTGGAAAGATACTAAAAAACCTCCAGTTATTTAAATGGTTATTGAGATTTGGGACAGTGTGCAAGTAACATTTTCTTTGTGTTTTAGTTCATATATTGGGCTTGATGTGTACTATAGTCATTGCAGCCGCCCATGAGAAGTGAGAGTTTGAGTGCATGACTTCATTTTGACTGTTTACATTTCAAAATATGTTTGAGAAACTGATTCCTAATGCAATACTTTATCAAATATGTTATTCTGTAAATTAATAGTTGCTTTATCTAAAAAGCTGATAACGTACACATTTATCATTGTCTGTCAAAGACGATGATTTTTACTGTCACATCTGATAATCACACTAATCAAATGTAATAGTATCCATATATTATATAAACTGTTACAACCTTGGCATAGTATCACAAAAAAAAAAAATACCAGTAAAAAATTAATTTTAAGTAAAATGCCTAAATAATTAATAGTTAATGGAAAACATTTTCACATTGATTTTATTCTCAGTGTATTATAACACTTACAGTGTTCCTTCTGTATTTCAGCTGTAGAAAAACTGCCAGAAAAAACAACAGTAAGTTCTATGGTATAAAGCAGGGGGCCTCAAACTGTGGACCTCCAGTTGTTGCTGAACTACAACTCCCATGATTCTTTGAATTACATAGATAGCCAGAGAATCATGGGAGTTGTAGTTCAGCAACATCTTGGGGGCCGGAGTTTGAGGACCCCTGGTATAAAGTATTGATTATGTGGGTTTATGTATTGCAGTAAGTAGTCACAGATACACATGGTGTTAACTATAATCCCAGTACCATTAAAATATTCCAACTGTGTTGGTTTTTTTCACTGTTGTAGCACTACAGTTTAAATATAGTGTTATTAAATGCTGGATTACACATGCAAACATTAAAATATTGAAAAAGTCATTAAACCACATCCATTGGGCAGCCTGGAGAGATTAGCATAGCAGATGGCGCTCTGGTTCCATTAAGAAAAATCTATTAGCATTTCAGTCTTCTGATGTCATTGTCATTAAAGAGACACTCCAGCAACCTAAATCACTTTAGCTTCTAAATAAATTAAAATGGTAACACCTCCTTGACTTTCAAGTATACAACCAATCCTGTTTCTTCCTGGTAGTTTTGCTCAGTGGAGTTAAACTCATGAGGCAGCAATTGCCCAGATCATCTCATTGAGCTGCATTGGGAAGTCTGTGATTGGACAGCCACAGCAAGTCTGGACGGGTGTCAGAATGGGAGGGTTTGGAAAAACTACAGACAAGAGGACTGCAGATTCTGCAAGCTGTTTTTAGCTATACCCCCAATTAAATATGTATAAATAAATGCAAGCAAGTTTTCATCTGGGTAATATCTACTAAACAGAGTTTTTATCTATTTTGTATTTGGGCAATCGAGTGTCCCGTTAAGTTGAGTGTACCTTTAAGTTGAGCAAAAAATCTAATTTAGACCCCACTATGTATTAAAAAGAGAGGGACAGACAAACCCTCTTCAGTTAAGTGCTTTGATGTTTTATTACTATAAGAAAACACAATATTAATCAACGACAATATCTTTACTGTAGCATCACCGTATATAATCATGTGTAGTCACCACGCATTAAGATAAATAAAAAGGAAAAAAAAATCTGAATTTGTAAAACACATAGCATTGTATCCACTAATTCATATCAACTAGAAGAATAATTCAGCCACAAGAGCTTAAAAATATACATTGTATCCAAAGCAAACAGAAATCTCTCAAATGACTCTAAAGCTATGACTATACCTATACTCAACAGGCAATTGAAAATACACATACAAAATATAAAATACTCCACAAAACAAGTGAATAATCTAATCATACATTCTTCATATATTTATCTAATATGTTCAGATTGGGTATGAATGATGCATTTGGTGTATAATTCTATTTCTTACTGATTGGGAACGAAATTATACTGTGTAGTTGAGAATAATTTTATAAAATGTGTATGCACGCAATTTAAAAAGGTTTAGTAATTTTTTGTATATATCTTTTTTTTTCCCTAGACACCTTACATCCCTACAACCACCACCGAGGTATGCAATAATGATGAAATTCAAATATGTGATTTTGATTATATTTCCCAATAGTTTATTTTTTAGAAAAGGAAGATGATCATCATTTTTTTTGGACCTTATTATAATTTTATACGTTATATAATATATTTTAAAAGTCTATTGATTCTGATAATTGTGTATCTAAATTCCAGGAGCCATGCAAGGGTATAGTGTGTGAATCTGTAACCTGCTCGAGGAAAGGTGAAGTTTTGGTGGATTTACACGTGACAGGTTCCTGCTGTCCCCATGTAGTGTGCGGTAAGTTTTCATGTACACTCTAAAAACACTGGATATTCAGCGAATATGTATAGAGTACTAATACATCATTAAAGGGACACTGTAGTCACTATAAGCATTTCATCTCTTTGAATTGGTTATAGTGCCTGGAGTGCCCTGGCACTGTCCCTCCATTCAGTGTTGCACCATGTTCATGCAGTATGCCACAAAATAAGAGTCCCTGGCCACCCACAGTCCGGCCCCTTCAGTATGTGTAGCTAAGGCAGAGATTACTCACTTTCTTGTTGTCATACCCATTCATACCGTCAGTTGGAACTCTGACAGGCTAAAATCAGTCAGCTGACACTCTCAGCCAATCACAGCTGCCTATTGCTGCTCAGGCTAATACTTCCTTATTAGCCAAAGCAGCACAGAGGGGATGGATTGCCGGGGACTCTTGTTTAGCATTAAAACATTAAAAGTTTAAAAACTGTTTAATGCTGAAAGAAATGATGGTACCAGAGGACTCCAGACACTATAAACAGTTTAATGAGATGAAGCAGATACAGTGCCTACGGTGTCCCTTTAATTTATTTATCTTGTTTCTAAAGAAATCCTTTGGGTTTAAAATGTTAACTTTGATGTAACAGAAAAAGGGGAATTCTAGATATCTATGCATATAGACAGGCATTCTCTTAGTACAGGGGTGCCCAAAAGGTAGATCTTCAGATGTTTTAAAACTACAACTTCCATGATGCTATGTCATTGTAAAGCATCCTAAAGACACGCGAAGCATCATGGGAGTTGTAGTTTCTCAACATCTGGGATCTACCTTTGCGCAACCCTGTGTTAGTATAACAAAAGTTTTTTTATAATCATACAAAAATAAATATTCTGTTTAGCAATTGATTAAAAAAAAAATTAATGAGTTACATTTCTCCTACCTTCAGCACTGGAAGGCAATGTGCTAAGTATCAGCTACTTATGGCATAGTTTCTCCTAGTGTTAGATAACTACTTGATCACATATATATTACCTAATTCATTGATTATCTCCCAGCATGTGCTATCAGTTGTAAACTATATCATTATTTTTATTTGTGTGCAGAATGCTCCAACGTGTGCCCAAATCCTCCTGTGTGTGAATATGGCAACACACCAATAAAACATTTCAATCCTGAAATTGAATGTTGTCCAGAATATGTATGCAGTAAGTACACAAAACGCAGAAAAAAATAAATAAAAAATACAGTAAAATATAAAAATGTTATTATGCTGGATACATTTTTCTAACTCCCAGGACGATTGAAACCAAATAATTCACGAGTGGATATTGTGCATTAATTTTAATGGAATCATGTTTGTCAATTGAATTAAATTATTCATATTATCAATATCATTACTCTATACACTGACAAAATGACCCTATTGTGCAATAAAATTATTACTGCATAGAGCTGTGGAAAATATTGGCGCCTTATAAATAATAATACAAATAATATTTTTTTATCATGATATAAACAGTTAAGCTTAGATAAATTCATTTGTCCTTTAAAACATAGAAGAACTAAACAATGTTTTGTTTCATTGATAGATCCCATTGAACCTACAACACCAAAGGTATGTTTCTCTTATCAAGTTAATTAATGGGCTATTGAGATAAAACCAATTTATACACAACTTGTTCGTGGATGATATAAAAGACATCTTATGGAAAGCATACTTTAGCAATAAATGTAGTTCAGCATGCAAAAAATTTTATGTTTTTTTTTGTCAAGACTTATAGTATGTTTTGTGCCTAGTATTATATATCTAAATTGTATGTTCCCGCTTCCACAGCAATACTATTTCTCAAGGTAGCAGGTACTATAAGAAAAACGTCTGCTGCATTGTTAGAATTTCATATGGCACTCCAAACTAAGATCAGATAACCTCAATCAATTTGTAACAAGAAAACTACGCTGGTATTTGAATGAGCTTGAATAAATAAAATATTTAAGTTTTTGCAATTTTTGAGTGATATGAGATAACTTAGAGGTCAACAAAGAATGTTTGTGATGAAATCTTGGACCACGTTGCTGTGGGTACACTGAGATCACAAGCTAAGGATTTGTAAATCCACAATGGATTTTGATTATATCTATTTTCAACTTGCCAATCAGTGATTTTTTTAATTCAGGCTGACACATTTTATCCTATAGAGTACCCACAAAGCTTGCACTTTATATCATGTACACTTGTTTCCTCATAAATAAAGCCTTGTATCTGTATACAATCTTCATGGCTAAATTTTTTGTATAGGTGGAATGTAACAACGTTGTGTGCCCAACTAAAACATGTGACGAAGAGCACACTCTGGTTGCAACATTAGGAAATAATCCCTGTTGTTTCGACTATACTTGTGGTAAGTGCAGTTATCCAATTTCACAAATGAATTAAGTGAACAAATTAAAGTTGAGATGATTAATTATTAAGGATGGGTTAAAATGTTAGAACACAATACGTCAATGTTAACACATACATTATCTTATCAATTCCTGACATAGGCTTATTGGGTGTAGAATTGCTCACTGTGATTTCTTGTGATGCACATAATTCATAGACATTTCATATTTCAGCCATTTCAAATAGTTTTCTTTTATTTTTCAGTGCCACACATTACAACTACAGTAAGTTCAATATTGCTTTCAAATATGTCAAGTGATGGATTCCTTTTGTCGATTTTTCTTTCTTCTCTTACATCAATATTTCATTTTAATTTCACCCTACTTTTATTGTGTTATTCGTTAGTTTTCTTAGGTTGTCATTAAATGGGCTATGACTGTAGGGTTTATATTACAAATATATACATTCAGAAAAGACTCAGATAAAAGATGAAAGCTGTATTATTTACTCCTACAAAGCAGCAGAGACTATTCCAACTTCCAGAGAGGCTGAAATTAAATCTCCTCCATTATATACCAATAAAACAAATAAATATCCCAGAATAGGGGACATAAAAAAAACTAAATAAATACAAAGAAAAAAGACTTTTATTTTCCATTATAAATTGTGTAGGGGTCTAGACATCAGGGAAGACAGGAAAGAAGAGAAAGATAGTCTGACGCATTTCGCGATTATGATCATGTAATCAAAGACTGTGCATCAATCAGTGTATGCTCCATTTGAGTATTTCCTGGGAGCAGTGTTATGAATAGTTTGGGGACTAAAAAAAACAAAAAAAGAGTTAGTAAAGAGGTGGACTGTAAGTTATTTTCCTAAATACTCTTTATATATGAATTCTGTTATATTGCTTGATTGCATTGAAAAATGTCATTTCTTTATATGCTTCCATCTCCTGTTAAGCGATGTAGGTCATATTTCATTCTACAGCTAGTATTGTGTATTCATGTATTTTACAGACTCCTCACATTGTCATCACCACTCCAACCCCAGAGGTAAGATAATAACCATTATTCATCAAATAAATTTATTTTTGTTTGTCTGAGGTGACCTCTGTTTTTGTGAGGTAGTGGTACTCCATGTCTGAGAGCCTAATTACTGACTAACATATGAGAAACTTTGATGCGCAATGAGCAAATGGGCATATCGTTTCCATAAAGCATGTAAAATGTTAAGCACCTGGCACTCCCAGTAAATTGTACTGAAAAACAGGTGTTATGTATTAAACATCATCTAATGTATTATTTTTGCATGCAAATGCCTCAAGGGGTTACATCACTTTCAAACTGTTTAACCCCCCAAAGTGAGGGTCCAGCACCGATTTGAACTCCACCCCTTGTGTGCTGTCGGGCAGGGGTGCTGCTGATTGGCTACAGCAGTCAGTTGACGCTCTCAGCCAGTCAGTGGCTTCCCTCCCCGGCTGCACTCTGTGCTTCATGAAACTGTGATTTCAGTAAAGTAAGTGTGTTACACCATTTCACTGCTAGCATTACATTAATATATAACTTGATATGGTGCTATAGTGCTTGTAACTGCTCCTAGAGGTATTACTTTGCAGCGAAGTAAATGTTTACCAGGCAGCAATGTAATGTTTACATTAAAAAGCTTGCAGGGACAGGTAAAAGCCACCAAAACCACTACATTAAGCTGTAATGGATCTGATGACAATAGTGTCCCTTTAATTTTGTCTGACAAGCAATCTGTACACAAATTAAAATGTTATTATATGTTCATGTGCTAGATATGCATCCCTTATTTCAAATAAAAGTTTTACTAATATTTCTCAAACAAAAAGTGTTTGGTAGTGAAGGAGTTAAGATGAACTCATTTTTGTGTCCCTTGGATTACTTGTGATGTCCTGATTCTTGCAGGAGAACACAATGTATTAAGTGTTTTGACTAATTTCATTTATTTTTATTTATTTTTTTAAAAGCTTTACTGTGAATTACTCTATATGAAATTATAGTAGATAGCTAATATTGTTTAAACACATTTTTGTGTTTTCTTCCTGTCAGCCTTGCCACGATGTTGTGTGCCCACCACCTACCACCTGTGATCTTGGAGATACCACCTTGGTAAAGATCGATCCAGCCAATCCTTGCTGTAACATAAATGAATGCAGTGAGTATCTTGTAAAGGATAGCAATCTAACTTAAAGAAAAGATAATGACACCTTTATTGATATGTCACTTGATTTTTTTTCTGGGTATCTGGACAAACGAATTAACTGGAATAATAAAATTGGAGCTATATTTGTCGACCTTTTTTACATTTCACTGTACCCTATAGAATAAAAAAGAACAAATATTTACATTTCACTGGGATACGCAAATAATTCCTATAGAAAATCCAAACTGGTCTTGTCCTGTCAATTATTTTTGCAACTGAGGGGTCCACAGAGATGTGATTTCAACATTATTTTAAAGAAAAATATGTTAGGGTGCACTTCAAATTTAACAATTTAATTTAAAAAAAAAAGGGAAGACAAATATAGAACATATATACATGGAACAGTTACTTGAATAAATTCATATAAAATAAATACATAAAGAGTGTATAAACTGAGTGTGATTTTGTTTTCAGTTGTCGTTCCTGGAACTACAACACCTCACTCAACAACAACACTGGTAAGCACTGTTAATAGTTTATTAATAATATGAGATAACACAAAACATGCTGTAAAGTAAATACTTTAATTATATATGTTTTTCTGCAGGATAAATGTAGAGATGTTGCGTGCGCACTGCCTGAGTGTCCACGAGACAATTCTTACCCATTGTCTCTTGGATATATTGAACCCTGCTGTGAATCATACACTTGCGGTAAGATCATCTAAATTCCTAGCAGTTTTATACATTGGACACAAGGTCAAGCATTTAAACTGGAAGAAAGGAGATTTAGTCTAAGGCAAGTGAAAGGAATTTTTTCCTAGTTTGCTAAAAAAAATTGGAAGCACTGTGTTTTTGCCTTCTTTTGCATCAACAGCAAAAACAGATGTGAGAAAAGCAGAACTTAATGGATGCATGTCTATTTTCAGCTATATAATTATGTAACTATAGCACAGATTAGTAGGATACATCATTTTAGAATTAATTCCCTATTCCCTACCTTCCAATACTGGGAGATATGAATGATTGGCTGAGTGAGAGGGCACCAAGGAGTGGGCATCAGCGTGGCATACATCCACATCCGGCTCAAGGCTGCTTGTTTGGAACACCTAATCTGAACTGAGGAACTTTATGCTTTATTGATATTTGGAGGCTCAGTAATTGGGTTTCCATCCTTGTGGTTCTGTCTAGATTTTACAAACCAGTGTTGTACTGATCCAAATTCAAGGCTATCTAAAATTCAGGGCCATTCCATCTTATCTGGATGTTTTTGGAGGTATAGTTTTCTCTGTGACTAGCAGTATATTTTTTTCTATATGATAGTGACAAATACTAGGAAATGAAATAATTGTCATGTATAAAAAGGGAAATATTTTAATTGTGATCTCTGTATGTATTTAATTTTCTCATAGTATGCAAACCATGTGGCCCACCTCCATCCTGTGATGGATACGAAAAGATTTTTAATTCTGAAACTCAGTGCTGTCCAACATACATTTGTCGTAAGTATCCATTTAAATTAACATACTGTTTTTATACATTTTATATATATATTTATATAGAGAGAGAGATATAGAGAGGGAGTAAGATTGCGGTGAGGACAAACACGATACAACTCCCCATAGTGCAAGTACAAAAAGTTAATGTTATGCATCAACTGCATATCTCAAGTTAAATTACAAATGCTCTTTCTTAGGCATAAAACTCGAGAAATTATGTTTCCACACTATCCCAGATTTCCCAGCTTGACATGCAAATAAGCAAAGACAGTCATTGTATCAATATGTAAAAAATGCATAGAAGAATTTGGGGGATAATTCATATTTCTGGATTTGTTTAGGTCAATATATTATTTCAATGCATTATTTATACTTTCTTATTTGTTTTCCTATTACAGCTGTTATTTCAACTACCACAGTAAGTTATATGACATAAAATGCAGCTGTCAATAATATATGTTCTTCTGTTGTGATTATAATCATCGACCTTTTTTCTTTTTATTGTTGATAACTACTGAAGTAATTTGAGGTAATCAGCAGTACTATAAATGGTCTGTCAATAAAATGACTCAAGGAATACCTTCAGTACAGCCATGATACTCCGTGGAGTAGTGAATATGTTTTTTTGTTCTTGCCTAGGGACACAATTCAGTTCATAATAAATCAATACCATATTGGTCTAAATTATATGAAAAAGTTTATATTTAGTTAATAAAAATTATGTATTCCCTAAGTAATTAAAATTAATTTACTAAAATAAAATAAATAATTTCCTAATAGTTTATTGTTAAGAAATGTTAGAATTTTTTTAGCAGATAAGAAAATATGTAAAGTTGGTGAGGGTGGCAAGGGGTAGGACTTACATAGACACTCTTTGTGGAATACGCGCCATTAACTAAACATAGCAAAAGAAAATATTTAATAATACAAAAACAGGGTGTCCAGTGATAACGATAAAAAGTAACTAACTTATTTTATGGTATAATTTATTGCGTTCACATTCTGTTTACATACTGTTATGAGAAAATGAAACAAAACATCTTCATATAAGGTGTTGTAAAAATATATATTTGTAAAAGTCATTTTAATATTCTCTTTTTTTTTCTTTAGCCAATACCCACTACAACTACTGAGGTAAGAAATGCTGATGGTAGAACTCACATAGACAGTCACTTTATTACATTTATTTTTTTTTTTGTTAGAAGGTAATTCCCTGTAGTCTTGTGTCAGGTCAGCATCTGCAAAATGATTAAGGGCAGTTAGACTGCCCAAAATGGGATGCTGTGATTCTCTGCAACTGGAACCTGTTTTCTATAGGCCATTGGTTACATTGCACAGCATGTGTTCTACTTTTAGAATGTCGTAAAGGAGTAGTTAATGATAATGGGTATTATGTATAAAAGCTATTTGTATTGAATAGTTCTGATAATAAAGCAATCACTTTAGTAATGCACGATTCCTGCTAATTACACAATTTTACAACTTTGTCATCCCAATGTTTTTTCCAATGATACAATTTATTTATTTAAATTCTAGAATCCATGTCTGAACATTGTGTGTGAACCTCTAGCACAGTGCAGCAAGAAAGGCGAAACACTAGTGGACCTATCCTGGGGAAATACCTGCTGTCGCAATATAGTGTGCCGTAAGTTCTTATGAAAAAATCTAGAGACACAGAAATAAATATAGTATTGTTAATGTAGGGGCTAAAGGAGCAGCAGCTCCATGCCCATGCTCTGAAGTATGCCCGATGTTGATAACAGGACCAGCACTCACCAACTAAAAGAAGGATTTTAAAACTATTGTGCCACACAGACTAGGGTGACTACAAAATCCCAATAGTAAATCAAAATGCCAGAAAATGTCAGGGCACACAAAGATCAAACTACAGACTTTAATGGAAATGAACAGGCAATGTTTTGGCTCGAGCAGCAGCCTTTCTCAAGTGGTTATTTTGAAGTACACCTATAGTAACAACAAAATTAAAGTTTTTTAAAAAAATTTTTATTTATCGTGAAATAGGCTACTCATACGGTGGTGCTCTGCTCATTATGTATCCAATTGCCTTTTCATTTAGTAATAGTCTCGGAGGGCTCAGCCTGTTTTGTGCAGAGACTGGTTTACATAGGTTAGATATGTGACTTTGTAATCCTATAAGAGGTAGAATACAGACATCATTGGACCAACAGTAGCTTTGTTATATGTCACACATACAATCCATGGCAATTATGACAATAAAAATAGAAATTTAATCTCACTCATTAGGACCATCGTATTTTTCAGTTTCATGCCAATGAAGCCCTAAATACGGAACTGATAATATTAATTTATTTTCGTTTAAATAATTAATGTATGATTCTCTTTGGGTTTCAAGATGTATGTTTAATCCAAAGTAAAAGGGATGATAAATTTGATCTTTGTTATAGAAGGTTATAAATACAAATTCAATATTCAGTCCAGAATTTTAACACTATTAGGCTATTTAGGTTTAACTCAATTTCTAATTAAGTCTTCTAAAGCTTATTTTCAAACTGAACCTCTTTATTCATCCAGTTAGGTCAGTCAGTGTTCGAAAAGGGCAACCAACAGTCCCACCAACAGTCCAGGACATTTCCATGTTGTGTTGCTAAAGAGATACTAAAAAAACCTGGACCACTAGCCTGTCTTAGTGACAGGTTGGGCAATATTGGTCTAGGGCACATCTACTCTGTGTTTTAATTAACTGCATCATTACCTCCACACAAAGAATACACACCAATACGTGTCATTAGTTGTAAACAATCTGGCTATTTTTTTGTGCAGAATGCCCCACGGTGTGTCCTGATGCTCCAGTATGTGAAAATGGCAAACCAGCAATCAGGAAGTTTAATCCTGAAATAGAATGTTGTCCAGAATACGAATGCCGTAAGTACACTAAACACCGAAAAAGAAAATTAAAAATAAAATCTAAATATTCTACAATGCTGCAAAGAGTTTTCCTAACTCAAGACTCCATAGGATGAGTGAAACAGAATATTCTGTAAGAGGATATGTTATAGGCAGAATCAGCAAAGTGATTAAAGTACAGTATAGCGTGAATTAGTCATGTTAATGCTTTATAAGAATGGAAAATGAAAATATATAAATAAATATATATTTTTTTTGTTTTACCATTCTAATTTTAATTTCAGTTTACATTTTATTTTTAATGCTTTTGTCAATGTTGTGCTTTTACATGAATGTAAGATTGTGTAAAAACGTCATCTATGTTCTAGAAATTATATAAACTTCACTCTACTGAGTTCACAGCAGTGACAGCTGGTGAGGTTTTAAGATGGGGTGGTGCTAGGCTCCTCCCTATACAGTACAGAGATACTCATTTAATACAGAGAGCTGAGTATAATACAGAAATGCTCATACAAAATGACAAGCTGGGGACAACATAAAGATATATATTAAAATTAACAGAGCTGAGCAAAGATACCTGTACAATATACATAGCTGGACAGACTACAAAGATATCCATAAAACAGATAGAGCTGAGTAAAAAAACGGTTCAATGTATGTTATCATTTCGCATACAAAATAAAAATAAAAAAAATACAGAGAAATAACACACAGAGTTAGGCACAATAAAGAGATACTAATAACCATCCCACACATCCAGGATCACTACGATGGATTACACTGAGCTTCAATACATAGATATCCACACAGTACATGATCCAGCTCACTCTCTCTCTTCCTAGCTCACTTACATTTCCCTTTCATGATCTCATCTCCAGTAGTGCTCCTGCTATGATCATTTTAGCTTTCTAGTAAATATTGCTGCTGTTATGAAACATGTCAACTACTCCATTAGTGCTCAGTGTGTGCATGGTTAAAGCATCGAGTTACTGTAAGACTCCAATCATATCATGACTCACTATTAGCTCTCAACACACTGTATATAAAGCAGGAAATTGAAATACTCCTTTATTACCTTTGCAACTGGCAATACAATTAATCTGCAGTGGTAATATAGAGTCAAGAAGTAGCTGACATGATTAACAGAAGCAACAACCATTATAGATTAAAACAGCCCACCCCTAAGCTTTCATGGCTTTCTATATATTAATTGTAATTTGAGTAAATTCCCTTGCTTAATCAGCCATCAGACAGTCACTGGGGCTTTAGGGCGAGAGAAATACACTTACATCTGACCGGGCCAAGAGCTGCTGCTGCACTCTCCCTGTGCTGCTTCCAAGGTGGCTTCTTGCTTCTCTCTCCTGTGGGCACTGTAACCCCACCCACTTGTCCTATGAGCCAATGAAGGCCCCTGAATAGAGAGGTCAATAATATTCCTCAACTCATGGGCAGCTGGCCCTGCTGCCCGATTGGCAACTCAGCAGTAATTCCTTTTTAAAGAACACTAGGCATGTGCAAAGTCTGCTGAAACAGGGCAAATTTCAAACCTGTCTTATTTTTTAACATGCTTAGATGCTTTCAAGCAAGCTTCTCTAAACAGGTACCAATGAGGAGGGGAGGGAGGGGGACTTGCAGAACTGTAACCTATTACAAATTAAAGAGACCCTAATTTTTCCCTATTTTTTTGGCTTTCTACTGTATCACTGTATGTAATATATAAATCAGCTGCTAATAAAACTAGTGTGATATTACTGACAATTGTTAAAATCCTACCTGACTGAAATTGGTCATTCTTTATTTTGCATATTCTCTGTTGTTTTCTTAAAAGAGTCAGAAAGCAATGTCATTGTGATATTTAATTACAAGTTTTACGTTTCTTCATTCAGCATATGTCATGGGCGAAAGGAATTTATACAAAAGTAACAATTAGAATATTCTGAACAGATATCCTGCAGTAATTGTCATTTACATACCCTGCAATTCACTAACGTCATTCCTATATTTTCAATATACTTACTTTATACACTGACACAATTACTCTATTGAATGGTGGTGTTATTACTGCACAACGCTGCAGAAAATATTGGCGCTTTATAAACAATAATAAAAATATTCTTGTTCTTACAATCTAAATATATAAGTGTAGATTTGTGTATCTGGTCTTTGAAATGTAGAAGAACTAAACAATATATTCTTTTGTTTATAGAACCCGACGAACTAACTACTCCAACTCCACCGGTAGGTTCCTATAATCAACATAAATGTATGGGCCATAGAAATACTAACAATGTCCCGTTGAAAACATGCTTTTTTGTTGTGCAAATTAATGTTCCGAAACTGAGACAGCCTTCCATGGGCTATTTTTAAGATGAAGTAGATCCATTCCATACAGCTACCTGGTAGAATAAATACAGGATTATTCACTAAACTGAGAATTCAAAATTAATTTCAAATTTAAGCAACAATTAGTGGAACTTGAATCATAGCTGAATTAGAGCTGAATTCTGGTTCAGCTGTTTTGACCTTAGATTTAGTAAATAACCCCGATAGAGGACATTGTATGGAAAACCGATTTGAGCAATATGCATAGTTGAACATGCTAAATACAAAACAAAATTGTATTCCATTGGTTACAAGCATAGTTATTGATTAAATTATCTTAATACAATTGTAAATAGAAAAAAAATGAAAAGCTTATTTGCAAGGAATGCAACCTTGTACAAGGTATATCTATTTCCGACTTGGTATTCTCTGTAGTAGTTGCAAAGTTAGCACTTTATATCATATGCATTTATTTTGTATCTCTATATTACCTTATTGCCTTACATTTTTGTATTTCAGTTACCCTGTAGAGACGTTGTGTGCCCAACTAAAACATGTGACGAAAACCACATTCTGGTGGCAGTAAAGGGAGATAACCTTTGTTGCTTCGATTATATATGTGGTAAGTGCAATTAAAAAACTTCCTCCAATCAATTAAGTGAATGAATTAAAGTTATATACAGTGCTGTGGAATGTCATGGCACTTTATAATAAAGTATAATAATAATAATAGTAGTAAAAAGTAAGATGATAAATGAGGTTGACGGGTTAGCACAATGTGTTTCAATTTAAACACAAATAGGAACTTATCAATTCATGACTGATGCTTCTTGGGTGAAGAATTTCACAGTTATTCTGTGGATGTAGCTTAGGTATAAAGGAACAATTATTCTTTTTTTTAAATTTAAAAATGTTTATTTTTGTTTTTCAGAAACAATTATTCCCTCTACAGTAAGTACAATGTTGCTTTCAATTTTGTTTAGTGATGTATCAGAACCACCTTTCTGCCTTTTTCTGAATTTTTCTGTTTTACTATTCTAATTTTGATTTCAGTTTTTACATTTTTTGTCAATGTTGTGCTTTTTAGACGGTCATTACATGAATGTAAGATTGTGTAAAAACATCATCTATGTTCTAGAATTGATATATCAATGGAGTTTTCCCGATAGCAATATCATGAGGAATTTGGGAGTTTCAAAAAAAAAAAAAGGTGTTAAGTTGGTGGAAAATCCAATTGTGAATTAATTACTTATATCATTATCATTATTATATATTTAATTGGTTTCCATATTTTTCATGGAATTCTTTTATCTTACCTCAATATTTTCATTTTAGTTTTTTAAATGTTATAGTTAGTGTTTTTTTAGATTGATTTCATCCCATATTTGGCATAAATGCTATTTATAAAAAGTAGACTAAGGTTGATGGATCAATGAAAATTGAGTATTTTGTGGGAGCAGTCTTATAAAGAATTTAGAATTTAGAGAAGTTGGAGAAAGGCTTATAATAAGTAAACTATTTGCATATATTTATTTATTTTATTATATTTATAGTTTATTTAATTTATATTTATTTTATATTTATGTTATAATGTTTGATTGCTTTAATATTGTATTTCTCTATGCGCCCATCTCAAGTTTTACTTTGTAGATTATATGAATTCTACAATTAGTGTTGTGTGTTTATTTATTTTACAGCTTCCTCCCACGGTCACTACACCTTTCATTGAGGTACATGGATGTCACATTTATAACTGTGAAATTAATTCCGTTTTTGTTTATTTGTTTGGTGCTTAAATAATAAATGAAAACTTGCATCCCATAAAGTATGTAGAGAATAAAATATAAAATAAGTTCCTGGTAGTCCTAATTAATTTAAAAAAAAGTGAAATGTTAAAATTAAAGCTTCCTTGATGTTTTACCTTCATAGAGATATATCAGAGATACATTCTAATTCTAAAGAACTAATTTTAAGATTAAGATTCAACAAATTGAAAATCATGACAAATTAGTTTAATTTACTTTATATTTTAAATATTTGCAATGGATAGATTTCTATGTGCCTTTGAATTTCTCTTTTCCGTAGCAGACTATAAATGCAACACTTTAAGTGGTTCACAATGATTTATTTTGTTTACTGAGTGACTTCACATTTATGTTTCATGTTTAAATTGTTTCTTTTCCTTCCAGCCTTGTCACGATGTTGTGTGTAACACAAAACATAACTGCAATCCTGAAGATTCCATCCTAATGAAATCTGATCCAGAAAATCCATGCTGTTCTATATATGAGTGCAGTGAGTATAGAGAAATTAGTGTGTGATGGATAACAATATAACTAAAAAAAAAATATTATATATATAATATACTATTTTTATTTTAAGTAACAAAACTGTTGAATTAGTACAGTTTATTATGTAATATTCATCTAGGTAAAAAAAAAAAAATCTTAAATATAAAAAAACATAACAATATTAAAATGAAAGCATTTTCAAACTGTTCTCGTGGCTAATCCAGACTGGGTTTGACCTGACCTAACTAAGTAGAATTAAACAAATATAATAAAAATTTCTTTAGGCAAAAAATATGTTGGATGTGTTAAACAAAATACTATTTTAAACATGATATATAAATGGAAATACAATAATTATTAATTTTTTTAATTTAGTAACAATGTATACATTTTATAACATCACTTATACATTGTATTATGTACATTAAAAGTTTTCTAGAATTAATATATAAATAAATAAGAAATAAACATACTTATTAAATACTTAAATTATTTTATTCAAATTAAATGAAGTGTGTAACATAATATGTTTTTCTTTTCTCTTGTAGTTCCTCCTACAACAACCACTGTGCCTCCAACAACTACAGTAGTAAGCATGGTTATTAAAGTTAGCTGTTTTTTTGTCACATAAATTACCTTAAAACATATACATTAATTATATACTTCTTTTTGCAGGATCATTGTAGAGATGTTACATGCTCAGTGACTACGTGTTCACGAGATGGCTCTTATGCACAACCCACTGGAGGCTTTTATGACTGCTGTCCAGAATACACTTGTGGTAAGATTATCTACACTTTTAGAAGGATTTTGGTAAAGATTAGTTGGATCTATCAATACTTCAAAATGTCTTCCCTTCTCTCTCTGACTTGCCCCAACTTCACCTCTATATGAAAGTGACATTTACATGGAAATTAAAATGTTTGTAGTTAGAGTTAGTAAATATTTTGAAGGTGAACATAAGATCTTAACGTGTTATTTTATTTGCAGTATGCAGGCCATGTGCATCAATTCCATTCTGTAACGGAAATAAGGCTATAATGAATTTTGATCCATTTAACGAATGTTGCCCAACATACGAATGTCGTAAGTATTCTGGTTACTAATGAATCTATTGGATTCCGATAAATAAATGAATGTCAAAACAATGTATCACTATTCCATCAAGGCATTAGTTGATATCTCTGTAGGGTTCAGATAATTTGTGGACATTTGTTTTTCTATTTTTTAAATTTATGTTTGTAACTCTAGTAATTGTGGGTAATTTGCTATCAATATAAATGAACCCCTTAAGGACCAATGATTGTCTACTTAGCCACAATAATCTGTTCTTTAAGGATCATATCCAAAATTGGAATGGCCCACTCAATAAGCAAATGTATATTCTAAAACGTCTTTAGAGACCATATTGGGATACCATCAAAGTACAACATGTAGTTTTTAATGGGTTTGATGGATACTTGTAATGCTACCTAAACATTGAAGCTTCAATGCCTGAATGTAACATTTCTTATTTGACTTTTAAAAGAAAACTGGGAAGACAAAAATGAGTCTTACATCAGGCTAAGCCTGTTGCTTCCAGCCTGCTCAGACTTATGTCAATCGCTAACAATAAAGCAAAGGGGAAAAAAAATATGCTAACTCAAATCATCTTGAATTTGGTAACATTGAGTTGCTTAAAGGAAAACTTAAAAAAAAGAAAAGCGTGATGGCAGCAAATGTGAAAACCTTAATTGAAAATTTACGATTTTAAGGAGGGTTCAGTTCTAGTGGCCATTTCACTTTAGTCATGTTGCTGACAAGATATAAACATGGCTGTTTTTTTTAATTTTTTTTATCAGAAATGACAATGTTCTAAAGGGGAAGCATCTATGCACCAAAACCCCCATATAATATAGTGGTTTTGGTGCTTAAAGTGTCCCTTTAATTGATTTTCATTTGCATACATGTTCTCCAGCCATCAGCCAGCACATGGTTTCAAGGGAGAGGAAATCATAGGTCCATTCAGATGCAGTCTTCCTGATTAGCATTGATCCTAAAGACACGTATTAAATGTTTAAATATTAATTAAGTGTTCTTGCATAGCAAGACCACTTAATGTTATCTCACATATATATTATTATTATTATTCTTATTCTTATTATAGCAAAATTTGCCACCCTAACTCCTCCCACAGTTTTTACACTACATAGACCAAAATTTACCAAAACGTGCAGATTGTTCCCGATCGGATTGCTATTACTTTGTGGAACGTTTCGCCGAATGGTTCACGGAATATCGTCGTTCTTGTGGCGCAAATTTGTCCCATAGGAATGAATGGCAAAGCTAGAGTGGGAGCTGGCAAAAGCTGAAAAATCAGGACATGATTTCTAAACTGCCACCACTCCCTTATTTTCAGGCCCACCTACACAAATCTTATATCAAAACGTTCAGCTATCCCTGCTGCCACTAAACATGTCAACGGCTAAGCCGTAGTCCTGATAGTTTTCACAATATAATCATTTGTTTGCAACTAACGCCGTCCATTGACTTTCATTGAAACTTCACTCTGCAAAGCTCAAATTTGAAGTGCAATTTCTAAACTGCGACTGTGCCTTCAATTTTAATACTCCAGAGACATACTATGCATCAAAATGTAGGTCTGGGTCTTGTGATTCTCACAATATAAAGCTCTTCACTGTAGGAGTTATAGTTTTTAAGATACGACTGTTTGAAGATGGCAACCGCCAAAATACTCTGACCTGTGTCAAGCTGCAGCAGCAAGTGATGTCATAGACAGGGCCTTTTGAACACCTGCTAATGTTTTTATAAATGTATGGTTTAATGTAACTGTGCAACAACGTTGCAATTAAATGTGCTATGTAAATGATAAGTTACTCCGCCCACTCCAGTTGTAGACTACAGGTGGAGGCAAGAACACTTCACACAATTTCCCCTGAAATTGTAACCTTTCTAGTTATTTCTTGTTATTCGATATGGTTTACTTGATGACAGCTACCTGCAGACTTTACTTTTACATAATATTGCTGCTCGGGTCTGAACACTGGGGATCTCTTACTAGAAATCTCTGACATAGAACACTAGCACTGGTTGGTTTCAGGAGATGGGTTCAAGAAGGTACTTAGTAAATAGCCAAGTTTCTCTCTGTGTAACTTGCTATATTTTTCAAGCTGTACCTGATGATAACTAACCTGTACAGTTTGAGTTACAATGTTTACTTTACAATTGATTGATCTAAAGTGAGTAATCAACCTTGGAGATGTTTCTCCAAATCATCTTTTTCCACCAACGTTTGCATATTGGTTTCAAATTTGATTTAATTCAGTCTTCAGTTACAGTAATACTAGAATAAATTTCATCATTTACATTTGCACACTCTAATACATTATTTTGATGTATGATTTATCATATATCAACAAAATATTTTTAACTTATTTCTTATACCCCACTTATTTTAAAATTATTCACAAATCTTCAGATGTATTTGATCTCAAAATTGTGGTTAACATATCTGTGTTTTTCTGTTTTATTTCATCAGCTCCACCACCACCACCACCTTCACCAACACCAGTAAGTTAATTTAATAACTTTCTCTATTACTGACCATTTAAATCATTAGGTATTGGCCTAATCCTCATACATGCTATATTTTAATTAATTGGTTTCACTTAACAGGCTTGCGTATTCTATGTTTTATTTTATACATATTTTACTAGTGTCATAAAAACTCGATTCTGTAAGTTAGAATTGATAACTGTAAGTTTGCATTTACCCACAATAAGTCTACTTCAACATGCATTTCTCTTAGAACCTTAAGCAGTAGTGGGCACTGGCAGTGAAGAACAAAGCTCACATGTCTAGAGTGTATAGATTGGTGTTCTGACATATAATGTGTCATAGTTCCTAATGCCAATATGGCAAAACTCACTTGGCTTTGTGCCAAATCCAGGCCAAGAATACAACCTAAAATGTTTTTTGGTTTTTTCCCCGTAATTTATGGAACAAATAACACTAGGCAATACATTTTTTATTTTGCGAATTTATCACACAGATACCTAATAAAACTACTAGAGCTGTAGAATTCGTCATTAAGCTGATATAGTTATCTAACAGGTTGAATTTTTTTCTTCTTGTAGGGTCTCTGCTCAGGTGTTACATGTATTAAGGATGTTACCTGTAAATTCAATGAAATCGAGATCCACGATGTCAACCCCAGTGACCCCTGCTGTCCATTGTATCGCTGTGGTAAGCAGAGAAAATAAACAATTTAGTAGAATAATATGAAGCAACCCTGTATTCTTTTATTATACATTATAATATTATTTGCCAGAACTACACCTTATTTACCGAAACATGATGCCATATCATATTTCTGCTCTAGCAGCTAGAAGATAGCTGTTAAACAAATCTCCAAAATATGTAAAAAGAAACCTCAATGTTCAGTAACCACTTACAGTGTTCTAGTGGTATAGTTCCAATGTGAGCATAGTTGGGGTTATGTTTTGAAAAGTAACATTGACTAATTATTTTGCTTATATGATAGAGATCTTTCTCTAATAAGAATTAAAACTTGACTTGAGGCACTGTACTTGTATGGGACAAAATAGCCAAAAAGTAGAATGTAGGTTGTACTGATATATCTATCTATATGAATATAATATGTTAAAGTATCTAAGGCTAGCCAACTGGAAAAATTTAAAAAATTTATACTGACATAACTCTTTCTACTTTTTCCATTTTTTAGAACCACAAATCACAACGGTAAGTAATCAATCTTCAAAATTATATTTGCCTTTTGATTTAATTTGCATTTCCTTTTCTTAATTATGAACCTCTTCTAACTTTCAACCATTTTTTCAATACTGCTTCCATAAAAATAGAATCTAAGTTTGTATAGGAGTTAAGATTAAGAGGCATGCTATATGTTAAGTGATAGTTTTGAGCACCCAGCATAAGTCACTTAATGCCCAGATGCAGATATAGGTAATTGAATACATATTTCTTTTGTCTGACTATATATTTTTTTACAATTTAGTGGCCCATGCTTGCATATGTTACATGTGTAACAACATAATTATTGTACAATAATTGGTAATTTCTCCATTTATTTTCTCAGCCCTCTGTTCCTACCACCACCATTGTGACTTCGGTATGTGTTTTGTTCTGCTTCAAAATATAAAACTATAACTACATTTTTAGAAACTTGAACGATATATATGAATGTTGTAAGATTATATTTGGCAAAATGTCAGAAGTACTAGCGAAAACCAAGTTTGTGAGTTAGCTAATCCCTTAAGGACACAACTTTAAAAATAAAAGGGAATTATGATGGAAAATTTACATCATGTGTCCTAAAGTTATAAATATCATTATCCTTAATTTAGTTGAGATAAACATGATATATCTTAGTACATGCTAATGTAACGTGTCAGAGAATCTATCTGAAAAACGTAGAATCTTGAGACACTGAATAAACGGGCAAAGGCAAGGGTTGGGGGGTTGTAACCCTAGAGCAGTTATCTCTATGTAATATTCATGTTTAAGTTCATTAAATACAAATCACTTATGAAAAATCTAGCAGGAAGCTAGAATTAAAATATATAAATAGATCTCAGTATATTTCATTATCTTCAGATAGAGATATCTAATCAGTCATCTAAGATAGCAACTAGCAAAGCATCTAATAAGAATTTATACAAAGTACTTTGAGAATGTTCAAGTCAGTAGATAATATTTCAAGACTAAGAGGAATCACTGTTGAATACTAAATATTGCTTTCTTTTTTTTTGTAGTCAATTTGCAGCAATGTCAAGTGTTACAAAGATGTTCAATGTAGACCCGGTGAACCCGTCATTGAGTTACCCAATCCATTTGATCCCTGCTGCCCCAGATACGACTGTGGTAAGTTAAAAAGTCGATCCACATTGATTAATGGCATCATACATTAAGAAACAAGTCTTGCCTTCATTTGAGCTTCTTGATGGTCCCAAATATCCATGCATTAATGTAAAGTGACAAATCGACCAAAATAATGTTTTCATATTGTAATTTGTAAAGCATAACAGGGAACTGCTTTGTGATAATCATTAATAAGCAGATAATAAGATATTGGTTACTGAAATAATTTCAAAAATAAATTCGGCAAATTAATTTACACACGTTAATGACACTGATCATCAAAATTAAATAAGATCAAGTCAACACTTGGAGCACATTTTCCTTCTTTACATATTTTGTTAAATATTATCAAATTATTGACTTGAGTGAAATAAGACAAAACCATAACAGTATGTCAGTATGTAAATTTCAGCTCAATTAATAACATATTCATGTGGATTAATGTAGAGGGCATTAAACTTGTATTTGAAGACTCATGTTATACTAGCATGTCTTAAATAAACATATTCTCCTTTTAATTTTAGGAACTGTCACACCAACTCCTACAGTAAGTGAATATATTGTAAAACAAAATATGTAAACATAGTTAACATAGTTTTTTTTTTTGTTTTGATGTGTTTGTGTGTCATCAGATTAACCAGTCATTTTATTCATATTTGACTGTCCTTCCAATGTGATTGTCATTTTCGTTATACACTATGAAGCTTACATGAACATTTTATTTTTTTTCCTGTCATATAGTAGGGTATCTTATGCCCCATTTTCTATTTTATTATAGTTTGCGGCATTGTGTATTTTCGAAGGATTCCAGAATTTTTAGTTCAGCTCCTTAAACAAATATTCATTACTATATATACTCAAACTTTATATTAACACACCCTGTTTTTGCCCAATATTCATAGTTCATTAAAAAAAAAAAAAACACGTATTTAAACAACTAACAATATGTATTACTAAAAACTTTCCACTAACTGTCTGACGATATGTGTCTGTGGTCCTGGAGGTTTACTACACTTCCTGTAGACCCTCTTAGAACTGATAAATAGTTTTTGTTTTTTAAAATAAAGATTTATTTTTTTTTGCTTTCACGATGTCATCCATCCTTCCTTCTTTTTTTCTATGTCTTTGAATCTTAATTGAATTTCTTTTTTTCCCAACAGGTCATTATCACCACAAGCCAGGTATGATATGAATTCCACTTTATTTTAATCATCATGAAATTGATACATTCATGAGAAAAACGAATTATATGCATCTCCTGTATCATAACACATTGCTCCGTTTAATGTATTTTTCAGGTTGATTGTTCTGCAAGAGTATGTGAAAGGAAAGTCTGTGGGGACAGTCAAAGACTGGTAGAAAGAGTGAACCCATTAGATCATTGTTGTCCACTTTACACATGTGGTAAGTATCTAATCCAGCCGTATCAAAATATTTACAACCTACAATCCATTTTAAGCAAATCGATTCTTAAAATTATTAACACTAAAATGAGACTTATTCAAACGATAGCAATTAGTTTTTAACAGCTTCACTTTATGTATCACCGACTTAATTACAAGGAAGCAAACAATTTAATGCCACAACCCACCAATGCTAGCAAATAAAATGTATGGAACTACCTTCTGCTAAGATATCTCACTCACACTCTTTTTACTTTAGAAGTTAACATGTCAATATCTAGTACACTATGTACCATACCCGTAGTGTATGGGCAGGGTATGAGCTAGAGTTTTTAGATTAGTTGATGGGACTTTTGATGGTTTTGTTTATCTCCAGTCAGGGGAGTGCTGTGTAATTCTGTTCACTCCACAGCAATTATGCCACTAGTTTTGGGCAACCCAACGCATTTTATAGACTTAGTTTCCCAATGGATTTCATCACATTCCAGATTATTCACTCCCTTTCTTTTAGCCCGCCATAGTCCAATTTCTTACCCAGAGTTGGAGATATAGAAGCAAAATGAATTTAGTTGGCTACAGATATAAATATGTGGCTTACAAACAGTGCAAATATTGTCCTTCAGCAAATTAAATGACCACCAACCAATGTAAGATATATATTTTTTAATCTAAAATATCCACCAACTTATTTCTAAAAAGTTTTGTTTTTATATTTTTTTAGTAAAAGTACAGCATTTCTGTGCATGTTTAAATCATTACTAATCACACACAATTTTCTTTGTTGAATAGAATGTGAGTGCAAGACCGTCCCATCATGCAGCAGTGATGAAAGACTGGTAGCAGTGCATCAGTACAACCAGTGCTGTCCCAAACTGAAATGTGGTATGTATCAGAACAGGTTTACCTGTTCAACTCTCAGAGTCATTGGTTATAGTCCAAGCAATGTCAACTATATATTCCATTCTTCTGAGGTTAATAAAATAGGACACTTGAGCTGGGAAACAGTCATTTCTATACCAAGGACATTGATGGAAATGAGAGAGAATTTTATAATATTATGTCCATCATTCATTTTATCAGTGAATAACCGGTTAAGTTATTTTAATGGACTGTTCACAATTTGTCTAAGAGCACAAATATGTGATCTATAACTTGCATTTAGAATGTAAAGTAATGTTCATTTTGTAAAAGGTGACACTCAGTATATTTCTATTTCTATTTATCATTAACATTTTTTATAGTTCCAATAAATTATGCAGTGCTTTAAAATTACAGAAAGGGGATATTTAAAGGTAAAGAATGCTCTGCTCAAATAAGCTTATAATCTATAAGAACCCTCACTGATAAGGTGATCTAATCGGGATTCAAATCTGTGTTTCCTGCTTCTGGCAGTCTGCTCCAACCAGCTGATATATCTATTTATTAAATTCTTATAAATGTGTGTATATATCATACATTTAACCCCTTAAGGACACATGATGGAAATATTCCGTCATGATTCCCTTTTATTCCACAAGTTGTGTCCTTAAGGGGTTAAGTTCACAGGTGGTGCTATTAATGCTGGACATGACATGTTATTTATGTTGTTCTTTTTATTTTAAGAGAGGAAAAGAGATGAATGTCACCCAGTTCCCACTGAAGTGACCCTTACTTCTGGACAATGTAGTGCTACGGTAAGCAGTCAAGAAATTGTATCAACCAATCACAACAAAGACTTAGGAGGACAACCAATCCATTTGAGTTTTTGAGTAAATTTCCATTGAGCATCAGTGCTTAAAATGTTTTATTAATTAGAATGCTTATTTATCCTTGAGAAAATACATTTCAGCATCATTTTAATTTGAGCTAATGTGCAATTAAACATATAGAAACTTATATGTTGCAACTATTTTTTTTTTTCATGATGGTTTTTCATAACCATCATTTGTGGATCACTAGTGCAGTACTCTTTCTAAATCTAACTTTACTTACTTTTCATTATATCTGTAAATATTCACTTTCACACACTACTAGACCCATGGATAGTATTGCACCATTTGTTACCAATTTGTACATAAAAGTGCTTTTAATAGATAACCGATATCATAGTATACATTTGTGTTTTCTAATAAAATTATTGTATAGAAAATTTTATATCTAGGTTTTCTTTGAACAACTTAATGTTTGCTTTATACTTCAAATGTTGTTGTTTTTTCTTCATTATGATTTTTTCCACCTGATCATTTCTCCAGCTTTGCTTTTCGGCTGACTATTCAAATCCGTAGATTCTAACATTGACCTATTATTGTTTGTGTTTAGGTGGTCCTGTCATCATGCAGTGGATACTGTTACTCTAAGTCTGACTTCGACAGCCTTTGGAACCCGATCCCCAAATGTCGGTGCTGCTCTGCAACAAAGACTCATGAAAAGAACTTTGAGCTTCCCTGTCCAAATGGTTCAAGAGCTCGTCTAACAGTTCTGGAAGCAAAGGAATGCGGTTGCCATAAATGTTCAGATAATTACGAACATAGCGGTAGCGGAAGCGGAAGTGGTAGTGGAGAAGAGGGCAGCGGGTTCCTGTTATGGTCAAATTTGGAAGGAAGAAATTAAGTTTAGAACATAGAATATAAAAGTACAATCCATGAATATAGAAAATTGTTAACTATTTGTTGTTTCATGCTCTCTCTATAATTTTGGAGTGAGGTGTTTCCCTAAAGTCTCTATATATGTTACTGTGAAATCCATTTTTATTTTTTTTTTCATTTTAGCACACTGTAATTTTGATATTTTCTAGCACAGTTTCCATCTGATGAATACATATAATGCAAATCATAAAATATTTTCTATTTTTTTATAATCTCATAATCTCTAACTAGAACATCAATACCTGCATCTCTAAACCCATGAACATCTGAAAAAATGCAATACTCGGTGTTTGACCAAACATATTTTATTTTCAGACGTCACATGACTAACTTCACATCTACAAATCACAAAGCACTACATGAGCCTTGAACAAATATTTTTAGGCAATAAACAATTAAGTTTAGTTTGCAGAAGTCAGGCATCTTCAAATGGTTCTCATTCTTCCTAGATGTAGCTTGATATAGACTATTACATAAATCTACGGTATTGTCAGACATTGTCATATAGAACTTCCAAATTATAGTTCTCTCAAATAGATCAATGTGCATGGCAAAGAATATGTATAAGCCCCAAACAGTGAAACTACAAAGTTTTCATTTTAAGTTCAGTGTGATGTGGAATGCGTTGGCTAAAAAGTGGTAAATGCATATCTGTCAAGCATAGATTTGCCAATCCAATTCTGACATTTCGGATACATAAAGTGGCATGTTTTTTTTTATGTTTTAAAAACCGGTACAATGAAGAATTTTTAGCACTTTTTAAATCTAATGTAACTCCATTTGTATTGGATGATGTAAAAAAAGAAATAATACTTTTCTGGCAATTTTATAGATTTTGTGCGTCAGAAACTGAGTTCATGTATAGTGTTTAACACTGTAAATAATTATAAAATAAGATATATTACATGGTTCTAGAGATGTGGGCTCTGTTAAGATACTTTATTTGTATTGTGTGTTGTATGACAGATAATAACTATAAAATTGTCATGAAAAACAAAAAAAATTGTTTTGTAAACATTTGTTTCTTTTTGCCTAAAGTGCATCACAGTGATTTACTGCCTGGAAACATCTGCTGTAATTTCTTGAATAAATTCTATTCCTTTATAAATGTTGCTTATTTTTTCTATCTTTATTCATTGTAATTTTTGTAAGTTTTGTTTTTAATTAAAATATCAGTATACTTCATCGCAATGCAAACACAAGGGATTTGCTTGGTGGCAAAATACCAAGGGTAAATTCGATGGCCCCTGATGCATATATTGACTTAAGTCCTTCCTAAAACCAGCCCCATACCATACCCCATGTCATTCCTAAACCATAATTTGTTCTAATAACCATATATTGTGACACAAAATCTGTGATTGAATTAACCCACAAGTCATGCTGTATTATCCCTTCAACACACTGCGTTGAAATCCACCAACACATCAACAACCACACTGTGCTGTATAATTAACATTCGATACGATGCATAGACGTGACACAGTCATGAATTGTATAACTGGAACTGTTACTTAATTCCCAGTATTACAGGGAACTCAGAGCTAACAAATGGCTAAAAAAATGGTGTCAAATGAGACCAGGGTATTTCAAGACTCCACTTGGGACTCCAGCTCCTGTCAGTCCCCCTTACAATGTCGTTGGCCAAGCATACGCTTTAATTATTTGGTAGCTCATTCAAATACATACAAAAAGCTACTAGTTAATGAAAGGACTACCCCATTTTGCTTACATATGGTACTTTACCACCGATAATTTCTTATCATTGAATTGTCATTTCAGATGGTGCTTTTAAAGTTAGGAATGAAGGTTAAATGTTAGAACACTGAATTAAGGGTACTGTACATACAGGTGATACTCGAAAAAATTAGAATATCGTGCAAAAGTAAATTTATTTTGGTAATGCAACGTAAAAGGGGAAACTAATATATGAGATAGACGCATTACATGCAAAGCAAGGTAGTCCAAGCCGTGATTTGTCATAAGTGCCATGATTATGGCTTACAGCTCATGAAAACCCCAAATCCACAATCTCAGTAAATTAGAATATTGTGAAAAGGTGCAATATTCTAGGCTCACAGTGTCCCACTCTAATCATCTAAGTAAGCCATAACACCTGCAAAGAGTTCCTGAGCCTTTAAATAGTCTCTCAGTCTGCTTTAGTAGGAATTACAATCATGGGGAAGACTGCTTACCTGACAGTTGTGCAGAAAACCATCATTGACACCCTCCATAAGGAGGGAAAGCCTCAAAAGATAATTGCGAAGGAAGTTGGATGTTCCCAAAGTACTGTATCAAAGCACATTAATAGAAAGTTATGTGGAAGGGAAAAGTGTGGAAGAAAAAGGTGCACAAGTAGCAGGGATGACTGTAGCCTGGAGAGGATTGTCAGGAAAAGGCAATTCAAAAGTGTTGGGGACTTTCACAAGGAGTGGACTGAGGCTGGAGTCAGTGCATCAAGAGCCACCATACACAGACGGATCCTGGACATGGGCTTCACATGTTGTATTCTTCTTGTCAAGCCGCTCCTGAACAACAAACAATGTCAGAAGCATCTTACCTGGCTAAAGAAAAACAGACCTGGTCTGTTGCTGAGTGGTCCAAAGTCCTCTTTTCTGATGAGAGCAACTTTTGCATCTCATTTGGAAACCAAGGACCCAGAGTCTGGAGGAAGAATGGAGAGGCTTGAAGTCCAGTGTGAAGTTTCCACTGTCTGTGTTGAATTGGGGAGACATTTCATCTGCTGGTGTTAGTCCACTGTGCTTCATTAAGTCCAGGGTCAACGCAGTCGTCTACCAGGAGATTTTGGAGCACTTCATACTTCCTTCTGCAGACTAGCTTTATGGGGATGCTAACTTCATTTTCCAGCAGGACTTGGTATCTGCCCACACTGCCAAAAGCACCAAAGTCTGGTTCAATGACCATGGGATTACTGTGCTTGAATGGCAAGCAAACTCACCTGACCTGAACCCCACAGAGAATCTATGGGGCATTGTCAATAGAAAGATGAGAGACATGAGACCGAACAATGCAGAAGAGCTTAAGGCTGCTATTGAAGCATCCTGGTCTTCCATAACACCTCAGCAGTGCCACAGGCTGATAGCTTCCATGCCACGCCGCATTGAGGCAGTAATTGCTGCAAAAGGGGCCCAAACCAAGTACTGAGTCCATATGCATGCTTATACTTTTCAGAGGTCCGATATTGTTCTATGTACACTCCTTGTTTTATTGATTGCATGTAATATTCTAATGTACCAAGATTGTGGATTTGGGGTTTTCATGAGCTGTAAGCCATAAACATCGCACTTCTGAAAAATCACGGCTTGAACTATCTTGCTTTCCATGTAATGCGTCTATCTCATATATTAGTTTCCCCTTTTACGTTGCATTACTGAAATAAATTAACTTTTGCCAGATATTCTAATTTTTCGAGTATCACCTGTATGTACCCAAGACTTTTTTCAACCTAAATGACTATGTTGCTATGTAAACATTGCTATAGTAGTAACTACTCTATGAATGCAGTAACACTTTAAATTAGCTATCATGATGAGCACCAAAAATGGCACTATTGCAAAAAAATATTTTTCTATATACTACTAGTATGTTCTGCAGTTCTTTACACTGAGTAAATAAAATGTACAAGTAATTGATGAGGAACAAATGTAGATTGAAGAGAACACGAGGCAAATATGGCTCTGCTCATTTGAACTTTTTTTCAGACCTTAATAAAAATATTCCATGTATTGTTTTATACTTAGTACTTTATTCACTGTACTCCCAGATCAAGTTTATAAATGCAGTTTTCTAAATTTCCACCTTTTTAATAACATTTATCAGTTCATAGCACAGTATTCATCCTCAATTATATATTACAAAAGGTCGAGCTATCTATATATCAGGGTGACGGTACAGAAACCGGAAACCCTGAGTGTCTGATGATAAGATGGGAGTCTTCAGCGTGGAAGTGGACTATCAGGGCCTGGTGCAGGGCAACCACATGCCCTCTGGTGTTGAGCACCAGCGTTTGTGCGGTCACATACCAGAACCCTGATGCAGCTACAGTGGATCCCAGGAACTTGATATGCAGACCTCTCAGGAGCTGAATAGGGAGGCTCTGCAGCAGGAATGTATCCAGTACAGAAAACAAGGCAAGGCTAGGATAGTCACCAAACATGAAAACAAGACAGAACTAATTGAACCCAGAACCAGAGCAGGACAGAAAGCAGAACCCAGAACATGTACAAAAGACACGAGGAAAACAAGAACAGGTCAGGACAGGACTCTACATGAACTGGGATTACAAAATAAAACAAGACAAGATATAATAGGCAAAACAAGAGGAGACATAACTAAGCACTATATATGAAAAGTATGGGGATTTAGTTACATTATATGATCATACATTGCATAAGCCAGTCACTACGCCAATGTACCCCATATTCGGCAGGTTTTACACAGCCTAATGTTCGCTAAAAGAACCACACTAAACCACAATAGCACTTACCTGCAAGAAAGGGCAGAGACTTGAAACACTGCTGCAGGTCCAGACTGAAACAAAAGGAAAATGGAAAACAAACGGGTGTGGCAACATAAAACAAACATTTAAATGAAACCTGGAGACTGGGAATCCCAGGGATGGATTGCAGGAATGAACCCAGAAATCCCAGCAATAAAGAAAACCAGACATAGAATAGAAAACCAGAAAAACCTAGAAAAACTAAACAAGAAATGTAAAAAGAGCACTGGATACCAGAAACCAAAGCCAGACATCGCCGCAAAACATAGCATGATGTGACATTATATTACAAAGAGTTAATTTACTCAATACTAAGTTCAACCTTCACCTCTGTAAACACTAGTATATGGTATATATTATATTATTCAGTTGATAGTTATCACACTTCTTTGGTTTGCATAAATATATATTAACTATAATTCTTTAATTAATAATTTAATAATAGATAAAACATGCAAACTGTTTATAAATATTGTTCCTCAAATGATAATTGGCTAACCAAATTTGGTTTCAAAGAATATGGAAAATAAATGACTAAAATAGTTCTTTAATAGTACATTATGGAGTGGAATACATAGTTACACAGTTGTATAGGTTGAAAAAAGACTAAAGTCTATCAAGTTCAAACGTGAAACTCATTCTTTTATGCTGCTGATCCACAAGAATGCCTAGGCCCAACATGAACTCTCCCGTCTTGTTCCTTGCCTCGGTACAAATTAACTAAACTATACATTTCCAAAAGAACTGCACTCCAGAAGACATCGTAGTGAGTTTCAGTATTCTTTATTTTGTCCAAGCAAATAAGTCAACGTTTCAGTCCTTATATCCGGACATTTATATATTAATTTTATTAATTACAATTTGGAGAACCTAACTGACAATCCAGGCAGAAAGTCCAGATAATTAAAATTTCCAGCCCTACCTTTAACCCTGTAACTTTTCTAAACACCATAAAACTTGTACATGGGGGGAACTGTTATACTCTAGAGAAATTGCTGAACACAAATACTTGTATTTAAAAATATTAAAACATATCATCACTAAAAGTGCAGTTTTTGTGTGAAAAATGCAAAAAAACTAATCTGAATGCTACTTTTGGCCAGCGTTTGTTACTAAATGGTTGATAGAAAAGACTGGGAATGTCCTATTTTGAATACCATGTGTTGCCTTCTTTTTCAAATACCATGATAGGGTAATTTCCATTTTTGGGCTTCCATATGGTCTCAAAGAAAACATAACCAATACCAACAGAAAATGGGCAAGTCTTATATTTTACCTTGTAAGTTTTTGAAAACACTGTGAAGCCTGTACATAGTGGGGTACTATTACACTCGTGAGACATTACTGAATACAAATATGAGTGTTTTAGAGCAGTGAACATAAAATGCTGATGAAATTATCAGTGAAAGAGCAGTTTGTTTGTGAAAAAAAAATATGAACACTAAGTTTGGGCAGGGTTTGTGACTAAGTGGCTAATAAAAAAGACTGTACACAGCCCATATTTTTATTATTATTATTTTTTTCAATTTGTATTTTATTAGAGTTTTAAGGCTTAAAATACACCTGGATCATAGTACATATAAGAATGCAAATAA